GAAAAGTGGGATACAGATAGTGGCTGAGTGTTACGCGAGTACCACTGTGAACCTAGCAACATCTCTGGGATTCTTCTCAAGAATGTGTAGTCTCCAGTCACTGGAGAGGCTAGAGTCAGAACACCACTTGGTGACCGCGTTGAGCGTGGAGTCATGGCCCCGAGTGTTGCAAGTGACCCAGAAACACATCAAGAGTTGGAAGGTTGGACTCGAAGCGAAGATGGGATTTCCCATGAGCGAAGCCTATGGACTGCCTCTAAATGCGAAGTCCCTAGTGGGGTCAGTGATGGCCAACCTATGTGGCAGCCACTATCCATTACACATGGCGATGGTAGAAGTGTCCAGCCAGAGGATATTGGTAGACAAAGCCTTCTCAGTGCCCAAATGTGTAAGACTAGCTCGGATGTCACATCATTCACACAAGCTGTTGAGGAAGGTCCGAGGAACAGTGCCTAAAGAAAAAAGGGATGACTTGAGTGAAATCTGGGGTGAAGAACTTCTAGGCTTGAAGAGCGAAAATACAAGTGACCTCGTGAGACAAAACGTGATTGGGAAACCCATGGTAGGTGCCCCAAACTTGGGAGAAGTCGACGTGATACACGAGAAGATGATGGAACTTGAGCCTCTCCTGGAAGCCTCGGGAGAACGCAATCTTAGGAGCATCGACCTCACACACGGGGATTGTCCATGCCACTGTCTGGCGCAGACAGTGTGGTACCCAGACCAAGCCAATCTCTGCCTGATCTGGGATGTAGAAGAAATCAGGTCGTTGGGATTACCCGATCATCAACAAAAAGTGACCATCTTGGTGGTGAGCACAATGCTGGCTCTACGATGGATGGAAGAAAACATAGCAAAGTATCGAGAATCGAAGACGCCAACAGCAGAGTCGATTCACGCGATAGATTACAGCAAGAGACTTGAGTTGTTCGAGACAGCATGCAAGGTGTTCGCCATACCAATGGAAGTCAGACACGTGTGGAGCCGCTTGAGATTCTTTCCTTGGTTTCGCGCGACGTTAACATCCTGGTTATATGTAGCGACGAAGGATCACATGAGGAAACATCAAAAAGAATATCGACAATTCCAGGCCGAGATAGGACCAGATGCCTTCAAGAGACTTCTGCTGACCCATCGAAATGCGATCACGACGGGGTGAAAAAGAGTGGGTAGAGTATCCAGAGACAACACTAGAGCGAGGGAGTCAATACTGGAGGAGGACCTGGCGAAGAATGTAAGCCTGAGTCTTCACAATTCCTTCTGTTTGAACCGGGAGTCGAAGGTGAAGAGCTTACCGAATCAAGCGAAGATTGCAAGAGCAAAGGGAGTGGATGCGATCCTATGAACAGCTGAAGGCTTGGCAGGAGATTGTGATCAGCTCCGATGACGAAGAAGCACTATTGGAACAGATCACAGTGTCAAAGGTATCTGGATCGGGTACCTCGAGGGCGAAGAACACAAGGTGAGCCGTGGCTCAAAAGGAAAATTCTAGAGTCATGAGTCTTGAGAGGGAGGGGGCTCGAGGGTGAACTCGGATGAAATCTGCATTCACGAAAAAGAAAATTTAACAAATAAGATATCGTAATTAATATGCTAGATCTATTATATAAATCAAAATGCTGCATGACAATTTCCTGATTGAATAGGACAAAAGAAATTTTAAATCACCAGCTTAAAAAGCGGGAATTCATAAGGTGCAGGTGTGTGCAGATTTTGATTGCTGTTTAGCGATAGTGTGAAAATTTTATATGGTCGTGAATTTTGGAAGGTAGATAAACTTAAGTCTGCTGCAAACTTCTGTAAATGACCATTGGCACTGTATCTTGAGTGACACTCGGGCTTCTGGGGATTCACTGACAAAGACAGCACGCGATGAGGACATCGATCTTGAGTCCGGGGAGTATGTGCCAGTCGGTCATGTCTGAAAGTTTGACCTTGAGAGACACGAAAATACGTAATTTTGGAGTGAAGTTTTAATTTTCAAAATCTCGAATGGAGCCTGTCATGCTAAGTTTTCTCGTACCAACTGAAAACAAAAAGTGAAAAATCAGAACCTCCGAGTTTGCAATTGCGGGAAAATACTCAAGAAAAACAGCAGGAAATTGCTATTCGCAATTTCCAGATATAAAATAGGACACGAAAAGAGCTGTCTTATCCCGAAATAGGAGGAGAGATAATAAAAAGAAGAGAGAACAACTATTCGGAACAAACTAGAGTGAACCTTCAATGGAAAGGTGGACAGCTTGAGTGTCCCAATGGTTCACACAAAAACTCCAATTCTAGAGCCAGAACTTACTTCTGTTACCAAAACTGACCAGTATTAAACTTATCTAGTTATATTACCTAATTCTTGAGTTGCTTACCAATTTAATTACTCCTTGTACTCGAGTGCATCAACATGTGAGTCCCTAATTTAAATTTCTCGAGTGTGTTTTATGATTGTTATGTTGAGATAAGGCGAGTTTTAGGTTGATCCATCTGAAATGGATCAAAGTTCCACTGTCCAATAAAAAGTAACTTAACGGATTGTTCCGACCCTGTTTTTAACGGCGTTCATGTATTTTGGGTATTTTGAGACCTAAGTATGGGAACGTTCTTATTTTCTAGAGTGGGGGGATATTTTGGTAGTAGCCTTTCAGCTGTAACGGGTTCTAGTCTCATGTCGCAAGCGAACCGAATTGGCTCCGACCGTTCTTGAGGTAGAAAAACACAAGAAATAGTGTCCCTGACTCTTGAGCCAATGGTTATAGGGCCTATTTTTCTTAAGCCTCATATGTGACCGAAGTAGGCGACTGTTACACAGGTAGGGATTTTTCAAAAATACGCCGTAATTCACATTCAACAGTAGATAGAACTGTAGACTTAATGTTATTAATCAAATCAGTTGCCTCGTTAAACATGGTACAAAACTTAAATTCTTATTTGAAGATATCCACTTCCAGGCAGTTGTCACAAATCCAAAGGCAGTTTTTGATTTTACTCATCCATGATACTTAGTCAGCCGATAGAGAAACACACGCTCCATGAAACCAATTTCCTCATTTCTCACACCCAATAGCTGTAGCATCATCGTGTTTCACTTTACTTTTGCAGTGGTCACATTTGCAAGCAGACGTTGATCCAATGCGGTTGCGTTGTGATGACATTCAGTGTATGAAACGATTTAATAAGTTTCTCACAACAATTAGGGCGTATTAGTTCGTATACCTGATGATGCTAGTTATAGCGAAAACTTTCGTTTTTTTATTAAATTTTTTTTGACTCATAACTAATTTGAACAACCAGAGGATATTGGTGGAACAGTTTTGCTTGCGATATTTCAAAGCTAACGGTGTCGTTTGTTTTTCCAATGACGCTTCCCAATTGACAATGAAAATAGAAAGTCCCAATTAACATAGAAAGACCATTATACGCACGCCGCAATGATTCACCGATAACACGCTTCAGTGTATTGACTTGCATTACTTTACTTCACTGACATGTACTTAATTCCTGTTTTTTTTTCTGTCCCTCTTTTTCATTCACTATTTTGTACCGCAAGGTGTTTTTTTTTTGCTTCGCAAAAGTTGCGAAGCTCCGCTTGGCCTCTGTAATATTTTTCGTATTTTACGAAACGTCTTTCTTGTCTGCAATATCCCAATATTTAATGCGCGTGGTTTTGCTTAGTTGATCCGCAAAGTTTTTTTGAAGGTATACCTTGGCTGTGAGCGTTGTGATAGTTCAAGTTCAGCGAAAGATATTTTTCAGTGAAAATGCAAAGCGGGGAAGGGGAAAAAACCTCTAAGCGATTGCCGTCCTTGAAGCATCTGAATTCGCGGCGTGCAAAGGGGCCATCAACTGAAGGAACAATAGACGGAGCGTCAACTTTGGAAACAGCTAAATCTGCGACTACGAAAAAGTCTTTTGTTCCGAATTTGAACGTTACTCGGGCTGTTCCTGTTGAAATCCAGGCAAAAGAATCGAATGCGCCCAAATTTGCAAAGAAGGATCGTAACCGAAACTGGAAAGACAAAAACAAAAGGGAGTTTATTCAAACTTCGGGTGTTTTCTCTGAAGGAGTTGCCAGCCAGCAGATGGGAAGTGGAACTAAAGGGTCAGTCGTGTCAAGTTCAACAAGCGATGGGTCATCGGCAGCAAACGTTATGATCGCTGAATGCCTGGAAACCGAGTCACTGGATGATATTATGACAGGTAATTTCATTGCTGACTTGAAGAACGAAAAGTGTCCCTTAAGTCTGGTAGGAAGTGCCTCGAATTTAGCCGAGAGATCTATTTCTGCAAGTGATAATAGATCGGCTGATGAAAAGCTATATTTATTCCAATTTCCATCGTTCACTCCCTTTGCTTTACCCCAATGTCAACCCGGCGAGAAGGAAGAAATTGAGAAAAATAATGGAGATCATAGTAATGAAGCCGAAACACAAAAAGCATTGAACATCAAAGACTTGAACGAAGGTGTCATTGGTTCTTTCGAGATAATGGAGGATGGATCTATGAGAATGGTGTTTGGTTCTGAAGAAGAGAAAATAATGATGAACTGCAAAGAGGCAACCGAAGACAACAATCTTACCTTTTCTCTCTTGTGCCAAGATCAGGTGGCCCAAACAATGCAATTTTGTGGGAATATTGAAAATCAGTTAATATGCACTCCCTTTTTCCAAGACTTGCTTTTTGAAGAAGAAAGTTCGAGTTCCGATGAACAATCTTTAAGTTCTGTAAAAACAGAGAATACGGAATAGATTGGTTTGTGCTTGTCTTACTTTGCTCCACTTAACGCAGATGAATCGCCACGAACCCTAGTGGAGATTGTTTTGAAACAATATTTAACTCAACAAAAAACATCAGCTTAAGTTATTCAGACCAAGTAGCAAGGCTGCTTGAATGAAGTGTTATCGAGCCCATAAAAAATGAATTGTATTCCTAACACTTTTTTACTTCGCCAAGAAGCCCAACAAATTCGTCGACATTTCTTGTATTTTTTGATTGACTTTCTTTTCAGACCATTGTTCATGGCTCCTGGGACCTAGTTTTAATTGATCGGCATGATGAAAAAATTGAAGTCAGTGAGTTTGCTCCTTTTGCGCTTCTGCGTGTTAGTCTATGGTAACCTGAGAGACGAGAACAAGATTCGAGATCTCATCTACAAATCTTTGGAAAGTGTCGACAATGTATGCGTTCGCAGGTCAAACTACACTCATGCGGTGGGCTGTAAGTTCGAATTCTTCTTACGTAACAATGAGAATGAGACTCGAAGAGTTTTAATTGACCAATTCTTCTGAGTTTAACGACCTGTAGCGTGATGTTGCATACTTAGTTGCGATTTTTGGTAGTTTTTTGTTCCACTTTAAATTGACTCGAAGGAACCATAATCTTTGAGTTTGAGGTACCTCAAGGATGGCTCGTAGGGGATCAAGTGTGGTATCATATGAAAAAGCTCTTATGAAACACGGAGCATTGAATGAGACTCCGCTCGCAATCTGCATTTTTTTGAATAATTTAAGAGCAAGTTATTACCCATTTTGCAGCTTTTTAGTGAATTCATGTAATCTTTTATCTTCATAAAAAACAGTAAATGAAGAAAGACAAAGTTTTGAGTTTCATTAGATTATTTTCGACCAGTATTATCAGAAACTGCTGCGCCAGAGAATTGTTATTTTTTCTCATTGGTGTGATAATTAAAATCAGCATGTTAATCAAAATATTAGCATAATTGCAGTGAACTTAGCGAATAACCAATTTAGGTCAGAGCAAATTGGGAGGTCAATCTGGAGTGTTGTTCCGAGTGGACAAATTGGAGGATGTTGAGTTGCTGACGAGTAGTAGTAGATTCGCCATGTCTTATGTGCCCATTCTCACTTCACTCAATTTACTCAACAGGTGAGTATGTATTTCAACTTATTTAGGAGATGAATGTTTTGAGATCCAGTGGGTGTGTGTTATTCACCGTCTTCAGCGATAGATTTTTGATGGCTGCCGAATACAGTTATGTATCTTTGAACTCTTAATTCAAACTAGTAGCTTGTGATAGTTAGTACCTTTCTAGCAATTTCCTCTTATTTTGTATTCACACTTGCGAAGCGAGTGTATTTGTACGAACCTTCTTTTTTTCCAACCTAAGTCGCAAATATTGGTGTTACATTTGGGCCTTAAAGCCTTAGTTACTTTTCACTGCGCATTGTGAATTCATTGGGAGATGTTTTGCTCGTCATTCTCAGGGAAGTGATGATGAAGCTGAGAGAAAGTGGGAAAGTGGAGGGAGTGCTAGTGACACAAAGTACTAACGCCACCGCCACCTCGCCAGAAATCTCTTCAGACGAAAATGAGGTTTTTCCTCTTTCCCAGTTCTCGACAGCCAACCAATGTCCCAACAGCTGGCTTAATTCAGGTGGGTTAACATAGAATGATTGTTGTGAGCAACTTTTTGAACACTATTAGATTAATTTAATGGCAATATGACTAAGACTCGTGATATTTCAGCTGAACTATGCGATTCGACTCCCACTTTCCACAGTTTTGTTTCGCTGGACTCTTTTTTCTTATCTTATTCTCGCTTTTATTGAATTTATATAATCAATTCATATATTTGGAGAATGGAGAATTGCCTGCTTATGCATCAATTGCCGCAACTCCAATCCGAAATTTTCCGAACTTTTGTTGTAAAGGGATCACTCCCTTCATACTTTTGTATGAGAAGTCTTTATAATAATAATAATAATTTGTAGGTGAGGACAGCCATTGTCCTTCTGAAGTTATTTGGAATCCGGTGGGCAGTGGTCTCTACTATGAATCATTTGAGTTCCCAGTTGTGTTTCTGCCCTCTGAATCAGACGTACAGTCTCTCTTTTCTTGCTACAATGAGTTCAACGAGCCGAGGAGCAAATTGGAAGACAGTTATCCGCTGTGCTCTGTTAAAATCGATACCTTCCAGTACTCTTCTGGTAACTCGGATGTGTGTATGCGACGGAGTCAGAGGGCGAGAATCGTTGGATCCCTCACTGCAGACTTGACATCAACAGGTATGTTTGCATTAGCATCGTCATTATGAGGTTTTCTTAACCTTTTTAAGTCGACATTTTCATCATTTTCTACATCATTCTACAATTTAAATTTTTTTTGTTCTGTCTGGTATTTTCAATTCAGCCTTCAACTTGGCTAAAATGGTTCTTAAAACACTCGTTTGTGGTCACGTTGCTTGATTTATTTCGCAAGAAAGCCGATGAAAGGCTTTTCAGTACTTTTTTACGTTTGCGATTAGCAAGCATTATCAAACCGGAAGAAGCGGGCATGTTTTTACTCGCATCAAAAAACATTTCAGTGTATTCCGGTTTTGGGCAAGTAATTGAGTTTCGAGAAGTTTTGCCTATTTTTTGCTATTTATTTTCTTTTTATCTCGGGTTAACAACTGGTATAACAGAATCACTTGAGTCATTTAACCTTTGGTTCATATGATATCAAAAATCAGACGTTAATTCGCGCATATTGCGAAGAGGTAACGCACCTGCTTAAAGAGAAAGGTCAATGGTTAGAATCCTTTGTTTTTTTTTGTAAGCGGAAAATGTCCGCGCGTCTAAACATCTATGTCGGCCTTCTGTTTGTTTGCTTTTTTCTGTCGGCTTAGTTACAGCAGCATCAAATTTGCCTAAAAAGCGGGCATGCTTTTTAATCGAATAAAAAACATTTCAGTGTATTTCGGCTTTGGGCAAGTAATTGAGTTCCAAGAAGTTTTGCCTATTTTTTTTGCTATTGATTGATTTTTTCCAGCTTCATTTTTTCTTCATTACACAAGCAAAGCTTGTGTCATTACTTAAGCAAAGCTTGTGTTATAATATGAACTCTCTTTTTTTTCCAGCCTAAGTAGCAAATATTGATGCGACGCATATTTTATTGCGAAAAATGTGTTCATTTTGAAAGTGTTCATTTTGATTAATAACCAGCTATTTAGTACAGCCAATGCTAAGGATATTAACATAGCACTTTAACTTCAAGGTATCATGGATCTGTAGCGTAGAGATAGGCAAGGAGACCCGCAACAAAATAAGGGGGTTCGAACTTGGACAGGGTCGGATGTTTTTAATGAACTTTTTCCGTATACTAGTTGAAGTGCGTCCGCTCTCTAAATTGAGGCATGTTATTTGGTAAATTTTTTTTTCAAATTGACTGGTACTGTTAATGCGTCATAATTGCCTTGCGTCACTTTGCAATTATATAGACTCATAATTGGCGTGTGTCACGCAATAAATTTTGTAGACTCAAACTTTGATTCATCCAGTTTTCCCAGTTGCGCTATCGGTCATATTTTTGCTTGTGCATCTTCGCCTCTGTGTTAAAATTTTCTGTAAGTTGTTTTCTTTATAAATTCAAGGAGTCTTCTGTGCATTTAGTGCCGTGGTAACACTCATGCTTGAGACGACTGAAAGTTTTCGAATATTCTAGACTTTCGTGTCTGCTAGTTTTTGTAAGTTTGGGTCCCGCAAAAAAGTTTATCTTTTTTGAAAGATTTTTTGTTAAGTTTCTATCGGTCCAGGAAGTTTTTATTTCCGGATTTTTGTGTCCCTTTTTGCAATTTTTATAACCTAAACTTGACAAAAAACTTGACTTAAAACGATTTTATTGAAGGTTTCTTTCAAATGTTGAATTGTAGTTTCGTTTGCTAGTAATCATAGTCATACATTTTACATTTTTGTATCGCAAGTGATGCGAAGCTCCGCTTCGCCTCCGTGTTTTAATAGTTCACCTGCAGTGCTTTTTGCATTTAAGGATCTCATTAATGGTATTTAAAAAATTCGGAAAATGATTCACTTTCTTTTTAAGCCAGCTTTAGCGAGCGTAGTGTTGTAGTACGCCTATTCTTTTATCCAACCTAAGTCGCAAATATTGGTGACACTTTTGGGGCTACTTTATGGTTTTTTGATAGCATGTGCTTGAAATTTGCCGGAAAAAGCTATTTGTTTCAAACAACAGTACAATAAAAACTCCCCTATTTTTTCCCGTGACTAGTTTCGTACACAGGGTGATTAAATTGGTGGCTATTTCCAAATCTCTGTTTTTGTCAGCTAACCGACAATTTTTGAACCTATCTGCTTTTTCATTACCCGTTCTATTTACACAAGCGCAGCTTACTGTGATCGAAATAGGTTTGTTACGTCGGTTGTCAATTTATCAACTACGTTTTCAGTATATCAATTTCTTGGGCTTTCCTGTTTTCGGAAAACTACCGTCTCTCGTCAATTAGGATGGCTCTCTTCTTTTTCCAACCTAGCTAGCTAATAAAAAATCTTTTTTAATGGCACTGTTGCTATAATCACAAGCATTAAAAATTTCATAGCATCTGTTCTCTGCTTTATTTGTGGCCAGTGTTATACTGCAAGTGATACTGCAAATCTTGAGGTCGCTGGCTTGAATCCAGTTGAGATCGAAAGCTCAACTAATTCGAGGCTTTTTTCTAATTTTTCTGATTTTTTATAGAGCTGCCTTTTTGTTGTTTTCTCGCTAGTGTTTCCGAAGACCGCCTGTGTGGTTTAAATCTGCTTAGCAGCCTCATTTTGGCTGATTTGATGAGCAAAAGAAGGTTGTTATCTAAATTTGAGGCCCATTTTTTCCCGCTTAGCATGTCTGCTCAGGTATTTTCGGCTTTGTTACCGCTTTGTAAGTTTTATTTCGATGCTCAATTAGCATTCAATTGTCTGAATTGGTATGTTTTCTCATGAAGAAGCTCTATTCAAGACAAAATCAAGACTAAGATATGAAAATTTTGGTAGATGAGTTTAATTATTTTTTCAAAAAAATGGAATTTTTCTTCGGCCTTCGTCTCTTCTCTGAAGTTTAGTTTGCGACGCTATATTTGTTGTGCAACGCAAGTGATTAAATTTTTTTGGAGCACTCCCTCCTATATTAAAGATTCTAAATCCGCACCTGGGTTGAGGTTAGAGCCTAAATATTAGTGAGTGATGAATTGGACCAGAAATGAAGACCATGTCTCTGTTTCAGACCAGTGTAGTCCATTGGGGGGATTGAACACGTTTGGACAGTTGACTTCCAGAACCCACACGACACCTTATGAAGATGATTCTGTCATTGTCATCGCAGCCAGGGCAAGTTGTACACACTATTTAGTGAATTAGAGTCTAAAATGATAGGTTTTTAGATATACTAAGTTTCAATGTTCGACTTGATTTTCGTCGCGAATCGATTTTATCAAGATTTACTACCTTTTTTGCCAATACTAAATATCTAAAATTTGCAGGTGGATGCGAACTCCTACTTCTACAGTCTGGATCCCCTGGGAACCCAGGCTTATGCTTCTGGAATTCTAGCAATATTGGGAGTAATGGACCTTCTGAAGCCACAGGCCGCAAAGTTAGAACAGGCAAACGTCAGCGTTGTCTTCATCGCTTTCGATGCGGTAATTGTTTTTCCTACAAAGTGCTTAATTTTGCCTTAATTCTACAATAATTGGCAAGTTAAAGTAAACATGGTATTGCATCTTTTGCGACCTTTCCCATGGTTTGTATGTGCATCAGACTGCCAAAATGCATGTTGTAATGTAGCACTAAAGAGATGATTCTTTGAGTTGTGAGGAAATAGAATATCAATTGGGGAATTGAATATGACTGATTCTAATTTGTCTGTGTACTTGAAGGAGTTCTTTGACAACTCTGGATCCATCCGTGCAGTGTACGACATGAGCAAGGGAGTCTTTCCCCAGGACCCCAGTTCATACTCGGACTACATGGCCGAGTTGCATACCAAACATATCCGCATGTACTTGGAACTGTCCCAACTGGCAAACGCCACTGACTCACAGTACTATGCATATTCCACACTCAACGCATCACAGGTTAGCTAATGATATAATAAATATTTTGTACATGTTTTAGGCAAGGCAATTGGTTAAGAATAAATTGCTTAGAGACAATTGCTTTGAAAAGTTGATTCGATTTTTGAACTCTGAAGGTCTATTAGATGTATTTTTACTTGTCAAGATAACATTTCTTTGGCTCGTTAATTGAGAGTAATGAACATAGTGAAGACTCATGTAAGACTCATGTAGTGAAGACTCATGTAACTCATCAAAGCAAGGCAAACTCCACTATCGAAGAGCAGAACTGTTAAGGTCACAAAAAACGTGATCGAATTCTAGTTTCGAAACTAGAATTTAATTATTAGATTTCCCACCTAAATAAAATCTTTACGTATTGATCCAGTTTTCCCAAATTGGGTGAATTTCATGAAAAAATTGTCAATTATAAAGTGTTCTTTAATCTCGAAGAGGCTTAAGGCTGTTTCTTTTTTTCTTCGAAGTTCGAAGGCTGATATTTTTCCAAAAAAAATCGGTTGTTTTTCTGTTTCTTTGCGTTCTGTCAGTTGGCTATGTTAAAGGTTCAGATGTATGCCATTCCAGCTATTTTTTCCGCGATCGTGACGGTTAATTGAAGGGTCTAGGACTAAATCCCCCTGGATAAAATCCCACCGGATATAATCCCCCAGGACTAAATCCCCCGTAGGACCAAATCCCCCTAGGACAAAATCCCCCAGTTTCTAGTTTAAAATCCCCCACATTCGAATTCAACAAAACAGCGACACTAAAACTTGAATTAAAAGATAAAAGATAATTAACAGAAAAGAAGTAGATAGATTAAAGACTAAAAACTAAAAGGACAAGTTAACAGCTATGGCTTTAAGATAATCCAACTCCTTGTAGTTAGCGGCAGAGCATACACTTCTCTTTATCCTCCCAAAATTATCCTCTTACCTTGTATGGACTTTCTTGCCGAGCTGCATTTGAGCAAAACTGAACGATTGCAGTGATTGCTGCCTCTGAATTGCCTCAATGAACTTCCAAATGTCAGGATTTGACATTTGGAGCATAGATTCGAATCCACGGTGGAATCCTTCAAGGGCATTGTTTGTTCGGGGGAAGTCGTCAATGGTCCTGAAGTAAACGTTCCACATATCCATGTCGAATCGCGATTTCCGTCTCGTCGAGTTTCGCATTTCTTTGCCAACAAAGGTGTCCTCAAAATAATTCTTGATGTCGTCAGGAATGTGGCAAGTTACTATTATTTGCTTATACCAGGCTTCTACATGTAAGGGTGGGGCAAACGCGAGAGCAGCTAAAAGACGTATAGCTAGGTTAAAGTCTTTGTCTTCGCGATACTGAACTGCATAACCAAATTCGAGTATCTTTCTGTAAATGGCTTGCGAGAAGTGAAAGAAACAACCTTTGATTTCTGTGTCTGGAAAGTTGTCACCCACAGAATTAATGCAAGCCATTTCAAAGTCCATCATGATTGAACTGGGGGGGGGGGGGGGCGATATCTGCTTTCAAGTTTGACCAGAAAGCGTTGTACGTTTCTTGTCGTTTATCGGGGAGCAGGGCATAGATACACGGAAAAGTAGTTCCATCTACGAAGCAGTGGACAGTGTAAACTTGGTAGAAGTTATCAGGGCAGCTTTTAAAGGTTCCATCGATGAACCAGTTTCCATACGAGTTTAAGATTTCGATATTTTTGTTGGTTGCGAACACCAAATAACGTTTACCTGTTCCCGGAACTGTCGAATCTTCCAGAAGAAAATCCTCTCCATTCATGGTTTGCATGTATTGAACAGGCAATTCAAAATCGAATCCTGTTGGAATCGGTGGCTGGCTACGGTTTTCATGTCGGATTCTTCTTATCCTTCGTTTGAGGTGAGGCACCACCGGCATCTTCGATGAGCATTCTGGTGTGGCTTTCGCCAGGGCATTTGACAGCACCTTTTGTGTCGAAGAGTCTGTGCAAGCCGCTGCGTCCGCTTTGATTTGCTCGTTAATGGTATACGTTTCCATTAAGGCATAGTCTGGGCCGTGCATGTGTTCATGTGGCGACGATTTGAGGAATTCGCCCTTTGAAGTCCATATGCTTGCCTTACATTGTTTCTTTGATCGCCGCAACTCGCACTCCCACTGAATAGAATTGACTAACTCTCTTTTCTTATAGTAAGCGTAGTTATTGTGAAGCGCTTTCTGGCCCCCTTTGTTGCTTAATACAAATTTGACTTTATTATTTTGCATTGTAATTGTTTTGAATGAGTCGGTAGTTAACAAAATGCACGTGTTTTACAAACTGAACAAAATTTTGAGTCAAGAAGCAAACGTTTAATTGCTAATGGGGGGATTAAATTGCGACCACGCAAATTGGTATCACACCTGTTTCACTGATCGTTTTGCTGGGACTATATCGGGTGTTAATTTGTTTATCAGCCAACATAAATTAACGTTAAATTAAGTTCAAAATCATGTTCAAAATTTCGGACCCCCCCCCCCAAAAATCAACATTCCTTGATCCTAGAGGTCTGAAATTTTGACACAATAAAGAAGATGGTTTTCTAGGAATCGGGGACTTCCTTTCACACCATCCCGCACCCCCACCTTAGTGGAAGCGCGGGATTTTTTACCCCTAGGGGTAAATTTAACAGACCTTCACATTGATTGCACAAAATGTCATATTTGGGATTCGAACTCACGCTGAAGGAATCAACATTGTTTTCCATTCACTTGTCGTACTGACTGTGCCACGTGGCTTATTAATTTTTGCAATCGAAGCTCATTCTTATAGGAAGTCAACTGAATGCTGGAATCTTAAAGTTGCTAAAAAGTCACGTCAAAATGGCGATGCATGTATAAATGGAAGTCAGTTCAAAATGGAATCAATAGAAACATGAAATTATATAATGTGTACAGTTTGATTTCCATTATAGTGAATAAAATATGGGGGATTTTGTCCTAGGGGGATTCGGTCCTATGGGGGATTTAGTCCTGTGGGATTATATCCGGTGGGATTTTATCCTGGGGGATTTAGTCCGCGAGCGTTAATTGAAGGAACTGTTTTGACTTACCTTTACCTTTTTCATTTTGCTTATGCAGGATGAGAAGTTCACCGAGCTTTTGGACTCAGTGTCTGCAGTTGTGTTGGGCAAGCAGGTGGAGAGAGTGGTGTTGAACAGTTCTTCTCACTCTCACTTTCCTCCCTCCTCTCTCCTCTCCTTCCTGCGGGAGAAGGACACAAATGCAGACCAGTTTCCGGCAATAGTCATCACAGACCACAAGGGATCATTCCACAACAGGTACAGTCGAACTCTCTAAATCATTTTAAGTGTTACACTTGCGAGAGCCAGTGTCTTGTTATCGGGAACTAGACTTTTTTTTTTTCAGGTTACCATTCTTTCTTACAAGTTTTACTTGTTTTTCATATTTGCTTTATCGTTGAACCTAAACAACTAGCAGGTTAGTTCCTATTTGACTTTGAGGTAACGTGGTTGCCTTTGTACCCTATGGTCTGTGGTTTGAGTTCCGACCGGAGGTTGTTTTTCTAAGGATATATGAAGTTGAAACTTTTTTCGGTTAAAATTGAATTGTCGGACTTCAGTTTCTCCGCTTAAGTTTTTATTTCGCCTTAGTTGCCACATCACGGTTTTGTCTTGTGTTGTAAGCAATTTTCATTATAGTTGCAAGTGTTTTTCATTCTAGTTTCAGGGGGACATGAAACTTTTTTCAAGTTTTTTTTGGCTCAACTGATGTCTGCTAAAAACTTGTTGGCTTTATTTCCGCTTCGTGAGTTGTTCTGTTGCTAATTCAATATTCAAATGTTTGCTCTGAATGAACTTTTATCGAGACATCTGAAAATTCTGGTAGACCTATTTTTTCTCCTTTTTTCCCTTTTTTTAGAACTTTCGATGTTTCTCCTTTTTTTTCTCCTTTTTTTTTTTAGACTTTCGATGTTTTTTTGTTTGTGTTGTATTGGAAGTGATGTAAAGCTCCGCTTCGCTTCTGTGTATTATTTTATGATTTAGTATTTAGAGAGGCTTGCGAGGACAGAAGACAAGATATATATGTGAAACATTTGGGCATTCGACAGCGGCTATTTTTGATCAAAAAGAGTCTAAAAACGTCCGAAAACCGAGCTAATTTTATTTTTTTTTCGAGTAAATGCACACTTGAATCTTTTGCGACTTGATAGGTTGATAAATGCGACAACATAAAGTTTGCTGTGGCTTTTTAGTTTCTACGGAGACAGCTTCGATGTGCCTATGGCTTTTGGACTGAACAGTTCTGTGGAATCGGGTGCAGGCAAGACACAATTCACCGATCGCATCTCGAAAGTGTCCGAATTTATTGCGACAATTGTTGTCAGATACTCTACTAAAGAGCTTAACGATGAAGTCGGAAAGAAAGAAGAGGGAACGAGTGACGTAGTGTCAATGGTAGGAGACAGTTTGAATCATTTCCACTTATATTGGTTGTTTTCAAAATTCTGTGAATGCTTTGATTGTTCTTTGAGGGTGAGTTTGCAATAAATCCTGAAATCAAAGCAACCAGCTATACCCTATATTGCGCTCGTATGATAAAAAGAGTTTTTTAAGTTAGACAAAGAAATGGGATTTTTCTACTGCAGTAAGCATTCCAAAGAAACAATTGCGACTGAAACTAGCGAAATGTGATGCCATCATTTTTGTGCTGATATTGGATTCGCGAACAGGTTACGAAAATTAAATTCAAAAAGGTGCCCTGTCAAAAATCAAGTTTGCTAAGTGTCTGCTGCTCTAATTTTAATTTGATTTCTTGGTAGATGGAGGAGTATGCGTACTGTTTGCTGGTGAATGTGAACTGCTCCATCATCAATTCATTCATAGACCTGGACATCTATCAAGAAGGTAAAATCAAGGGAATCGCTTATGAGCAATCTATTATCTAATATTATATATTCAAATGCGGGTCCCACTATCTCGCCACGTTGAAGCTTTTTCAGCGTTTTATTTTTGCATAATTAACGAGAGAATTTTTTCACGATTAAGCTATATCGTATATTGCAATGGTTAAATTTTTTTTTCGTTTATTACAAATTTTGAATGCAACCCAATGGAAGGGGTTTCAGGGTTTCTCTTGGGATTGAAAGTTTGGTCTCGAATTATGAATGCCCAAATTCTTTTAGTTTACGAGATACGATGATTTTTGTGATTTTAAAAAAAAAACTTGCAGAAAACTCAAATTGAGTAATTCACTAAATTTAAATATCCCAACCCTTTAGTTGGGTACTGTCAGAAAAATCTCAAGGATTAAGAATCTTTTCTCCAAAAAACGACTCCTATCCCATTTATGAATTTGATGATTTGATGAAAAGCTTTATGAAAAACTCAATTTTTAGTATGTTAAGTGCAGTTGTTTGCTGCCCGCCACCTTAGGGTTTTGTTATACTAAACTCTTTAAGTCTATTTTTTTATCGTGCGAATAATTTTGAAATCAAAAGCGTTTTGGCATTTCCGCGTCTTTTTTTTACGATTGCGTTCATTTTGCTGTTTTTTTTTTCATTTATTTTATGCATAAGCAACTTTTGTGTTCGTTAATTTTTTGAAGCACCGGAGGTGCGCTACACGCTAGTCTACAAACTTTTCGAGGTCTCTGATTTTTTTTCTTGGTCAGCCATTTTGAACTTTGTCATTAGCAAAAATTTTTGTACAGCAGTTTTCCGGCACTAAAATATGATTTTGTTATTTGGTTTTTGACTGTTGGGTTGCCTTGAATGAAAACGCCCGATCATAAAAAAGTTGCTCCGATGTTTGTCAGAAAATAAACAGTATAAAATGTACGGTGAACCTAGGGCTCAAATCTATTTTAGAAAATTTGTCCTTTTGGATGCTTTGTTCATCTAAATGATTTGATGGCAAATTATGAAAAATCATCCGGATCGGTTCTTGATTTATTAGCTCAAACGGAAGTCATTGAATCTTTTCTAGAAAATTTACGAAAACCAGCAGAAATTTATCATTTGTCTCGAACTGTCAGACTCTTATATAGGCAGTGATGATTTTTTGTTGTTTTTCAGGAAAAGTCGTCTGAAAAATTTTTCTTTAAGTCTTAAATCAGTTTTGGCGGTTTGACTTTTGATTTCTTTTTAAGTTCAGTTCATTCCCTTTTTAAAAGGCAGGCAAACTCTAACTATCGAACAGCGAAAGTGTAAAGGTCACGCTTCTGTGTAAAGTTTTTCAGTTTTTTTTGGAAAAAGTAATGTTTGTTTACGCTCAAATTGAATGTTTCGCGGATTGACATTTGAACCAGGGGCGGATTTAGGGGGGGGGGGGGCGGACGCCCCCCCCCCCCCCCCCCCTCAGGGATTCGAACCCCTGCCAACCCAAAGGGTCCCCCCTTTGATACTTTTTAAGAAATCCATTTTTGGCCAACCGACCCTAAAATTTTTCTAAAAGCGCCTTCGGCGCCAATATATACTAATTTTGAGGGGGAGCGCGCGCCAAAAAAACGCGTTTTTTTTGTCAAAATTTTCCAAAAAGTGCCCAAAAACGGCTTTTTTGACCTGTTTTTTCAAAAAATTGCCTGCGGCGTAGAAAATTTGACCACAACAGGGTCTTTTTACTGCTTTGGGAAAGCTCGGAAAATCAATCTGATCGACCTAAAAAAAAAAAAGGTCGTCAAAATTTTCGAAAATTTTTTGAAAATCCGCCCCCCCCCTCGAGAAAATCCTAGATCCGCCCCTGATTTGAACTCAATAATTTCAGTTTATTTCCCTTGTTTTTAAAAGTCGGAAGTTGAATTTTTTTAAACAAGTCAGTTTTTTTTCTGTTTCCTTGCGTTTATTAATCTAACTTCGAAAGTGGAATTGAATTATCAGATTTCCTAGATAATGAAAATTTGACTTATTGTGAGCTTTTGTGCTTTGTTGCAGGTGCCAGCAGTCGTTACGTGTCCATTGCTGACTTGGCCGACACCAGCTCAGTGCTGACGATATTCAGATATCTATTCTACTATGCGCTGAGAGAGGAGGTCGATCTCAAAGAAGATAAACTGGCCACTAGCTCGTGTCAGCCTGCTTCAGATACGGATGGGGTAAGTAGGATGCTAGATCATTCAAATAAGCAACGGTCACTCATTCATGTGTATGACTGAGTAGGCAATGACATAAAAAGATACGAATAACGTTACTAAGTTCAAGTTCCACCCGAAGACAGCAGCTGGTTCAGGTCCTTATGGCTGCGTTTTTCAATCCTTGAGTGAAAGGGCTTACATATATGCGGCTCTGATCATTGCGGATTATTGCTGATGTGGCATCGATTGGAGTCTACATGAAATCTATTAAGTTATTAAGAGTCGATAAAAATTATGAAAACGCTTATATGCACATCACTTTTATTGTGTTGATAGTTTTTGTTCCGACTTTTGAAACGAAAGTAACGGAATATTTGTGCTCGGGGTGGGTTTTTTTTTCTTCAGACAAATTTCGGCTTTTTAACTAGCCATTTTTGACGGAGTTTTTTTATATCGTTCGAAAGGTATTGTTGTCCTGAGCTCAAATTTGAAAAGATATTTTACCTGTGATCATTTTTCGCAGAGTTACGGGGGTTTAAAGATTGCCATTTTGGCCAATTTGGGACAATTAACGCGCGATATATTTCGCGCTATTAACGCGTAAGCGGAGATTTAATCCGTCTTAGAAATCGTTCCAAATTGGTTGAAAGAAGCTTATTTGCCATAATTTATTTGCTACAATGAGCGAAATCTATCCTTTCTAACTTAATATGGCGTGTGGGGTGATGATTTTCATAAAAAATTTCAAATTAAAAAAAAAATTTCATTTTGTTTTATTACATTAAATTTTTTAAGGTTATTACTGCTCCATAAACCCTAAAAGGCAGTCGGAACCTTCAAGGCTCCGCCCTGATACGAGCAGTCTTGTTGTTTTTAAGTGTCAATGAATGAAGCGAAAACACTTATATTGGTCGTGATATTTTTCTGTTTTTTTTTTTGGAAAAAGTAAAGTTTGTTTACGCTCAAATTGAACGTTTCGCGGATTGGCATTTGAATTCAATAATTTCAGTTTCTTTCCCTTGTTAATTTTATCAAAAAAAGGGTCAATCATAATTTGTTCTTAAAAATCAGAGGAGCTTTAAGAGCATTCATTTATTCTTTAAAAGTCGGAAGTTGAAGTTTTTTTCAAAAAACAAATCAGTTTTTTTTCTGTTTCCTTGCGTTTATTAATCTTTTCCAACTGTCAATTGACTGGTCAAAAATTTCCGAACTCAGTATATATAGCAGTTTTTGAAATGCAAAATTATACAAAACTTAGCATTGCATTTATTTGATTTATTGCATGCTAAGTTAGTGAGATTGGCGCAGAGACAATTCAGCCACAGACAATTCAGCCGATTTAAAATACAGACAATTCAGCCAAAAAAACTCAGACAATTCAGCCAATGACAATTCGGCCAATTTAGATTAAAGAGACAAGATAAAAGGGAACAATAAAACTTTTCTAATTTGATTAGAGTCAGAAGGCTTTCAACAGTTTACCAAAGAAATGTAAAACATCAAATAACAAATTTCGAAGATCAAAGCAAACTTGCTATGCATAAAGTTTTACGAAATATGTACATTGAAGGTACACAGTTTTAAATACTTCTGTATATGGTCTCGATTGTAGTTTTTTGCGTTTTGAACGAGTTTTTCATTTGCTATTGAATACTTGGGCTTCTGTTTTCTGATAATATCACCGGACATCAGTCTCTCTACATTAATTTCGGCGTTTTTTTGCTCATCTTTGAATCGGGTGATCAACTTGGGGAGGGCTGGATGCTTTGTCGATACGAATTTATTGAAGCTGCCATTCCATGCCTCCAACGCATTGTTCGTACGAGGTTCTCCGCTGAGCACCCGATTGAAAACGTTCCAATCGGCAATGTCAAACTTTGGTTTGACGCGTCTATTTCCTCGACAAGCACCAATATAGGTGTCTTCGAAGTAGTCTGATAGACTCTGGAATTCCTCTGAGGCATCCTCTTTTCGGAGCGCCTCAAACGCGAAAATAACGTCGTCAATGGGAACGAATGCCAAGCAAATCATTTTTTTGACATTCAGTCGAAACTCATCATCGTCCATGTACTTGCGCGAAAAACCAAGTTTTTGTACATTGCGCCATACTGCTTGGCCCAGGTGGAAGAAACAGAATTGAATTTCTGTATCAGGCTGCATTTTTTTTATGGCGTTGCGAACAGCGGCTTCAAAGTCAATGACTACTTTTTTTCCAAATTGCTCTAAGCAGCCAAAAAGTTTTTCGTAAGTGTCTTGCGTCTTATTGGGCAGCAGAGCATACACCAAGGGTATAACTGCGTTTTCGATTACACCATGAATAGTATAAACTTGGTAAAAGACGTCTGGTGCCACTGAAAACGTTCCATCGCAATGGCAGATTTCCGACTGAGAAAGCAAATCAAGCGCTGGTAGTGTTGCAAAAACTAAAACTCGACTGTCCGACTTACCAGAATCAAAATACAGGAACGTATCACCGCTGTGTGTGAGTTTGAGAGGTTCAGGAATTTCGTCGACGCTCTCAAGGTTTTTTGGTTTTGGCATTGTTTCCAAAGCTTGCTGCCTGATTCGGTTTATACTTCGAAGGGATGTTGAGTAACTCGGTATTGTGGGCGCTGCATAAAGAGGCAGGTCAATTTGGGCGTTGAAAACAATCTGTCGGGGAGCGTTACCGGTGTTTGCGGCTTTTTCTCGAACTTTATTAGCAAATTTCTTGGCTTGAATTTTTGAGGGGCTCGGTAAATGAGCGTGCTCGGTTTTTAAGGTAAATTCTTGCTGTTCGTCCAAATAACCCACTGCTCTACAATTTCCAAATGTACATTGCCATTTAATGAGCCCGTTCTTCAGTTGGTTTTTTTTCACGGTATCTATAACCGTCGAGACAAAGATGTTTTTTTCCGCGTTCAGATATTACGAATTCCATTTTACGTCAACTTTTGCTAAATGTGAATGAATGAGAATGATTCGGATACTAATCAACCAGTTGTTCAAGCTACTTGATAATGAAAATTAATCAATGTTAATTGTGTCAATGGACCATTTAACTGCAAAAAGTAGGCGCTAAACGCGGTACTGGTTTCTGGTTGGTCAATATTTTAATCGCAATTAGTTTATCTTTTAAAAAAGTTTAAGTATCAAATTAGTTTCAACCAACTACCCAAATTACCTGATAGGCGGTTGCACCCTCCCCCGCCTAAGGCATGATAAGAATATCAGCGTAACTGTGTGGCCAGTACGTGGTAGGGGTGGTCAGCCCTTTAACTGATATCCTTTTTGACCGCCTGTAAATTCCCTATTTCGGGTCTGCTTTCGTGTAAATTGGTTAACTTTTAAGTATTGCGCAGTTTTTTGTAGAGTTCGATTTTTGCTTAACTATTATTCCAAAATTGGAAACATAATGAGTTGTATAAAGTTTTATTATGCTTAGGCATTTTTGGTTCTGTTAATTTTAATTGTTTTATGTGCATTTGAAAGGAATTACTTATAAGTCGTCTAATGAAAGCTTTGATGTTTTGCCGCATGTGAAAAGTTTTTGCGCGCACGTTTTAAAACTTTAAAATTGTCTGAATAGTCTTTGGCTGAATTGTCTCACTCATTTTGACTGAATTGTCTGAATTTGAAATTGGCTGAATTGTCTGTGGCCGAATTGTCTGAACGCGAGTGAGATTATCTTTAGTTTATTACAATCCAAATTATTACTCAAAAATTGTGTTTTTACCAATTTTAAAGCTCCCAAATCTTTTTCCGCTTTCTCGATTGTATTTGCGAAGCTCTAGCTGCGCCTCTGTTTAAATTCGACAGTTTTAATTTTTTTCAAAAAAAATTAGTCAGTTTTTTTTGTTTCCGTGTGTCCGTGTGTTCATTGGCACATTTAAATCTGTCTGTTGGCTATGTTTTCTAAAGAAAAATCTTATAAGTTGTTTACGTTGAAAATTGTGTTTTCACTGTTTTTCTTTTATTTTTTTTTAAAAGTCAATTCAAATAATCTGCAAAAAGGAAAGCAAACTTTGGTCGAATTAAAACAAATGCGAAGGTAGGAAAAAATTGAATTGCAATAAGGTTAATAAGTGGATTTTAATTTTTGGACTTAAATAAAACAAAGGCTTATTCACCAAGTTTTCTCAACTTTTGGCCGCTCACCGGGGACCGAAGGTGCAGCTGACCATCAAGCATACCTCGAAATGTTTGGCCAAGTAACTAATGCAAGTATTGATTTTAAGACTTTCGTCTACTTCAAGATAGCGAACAAATCTGCAGCGAATGAAAACTCAACTGGAGACGATTCAAATTATCTCTGCTTTCGATCTCCTGTCTCAGTCAGCAACGCCGAGTCGCCCGCATTTCTGTCCGAGTCCCTTCTTCGTTCGGGAAAATACCCTGCATGGACTGAGTCGTTCTGGAGCTCAACGTTCTCGGTCAAACTGTTCACTACTGGAGACAACAGCATAGACATTATGGCGTTCACTGTTGGAATTATGCTCACTGTTGCGTCATACGCTGCAGTATTTTTTGCTCAGTATAAATCAGACACGCTGTTTGTCTTTGCACCAGAACCTCTGGACCAAACAGGCTGTGATGAAGATGCAAGACGTAGAGCAGCCGTGGGACCATCAGGACATACATTGGGCATGAGAGAAAGTCCAGCTACTAATCCTGCCTACACCAACTCAAACAGCACTCCTAGTGTATCAAGAGATGAACTGAATCATCTTGACGTTAATGTGAACTCGCCCAAACCTCTTGCTGTAAATGATCAAAACCCAATTTCTGTACCTGTGTAAGTTTTGATTCAATTTCATAGCGCTTCTATGTTGATAGCTTTTAGCCAGCTCCTTTTACGTACAAATCAGTATTTACTATCAATAAATGTTTGTTATAAAAAAAACTAATTAATTTTTGCATCCTGGTTTTTTATAAGATGCGCAAATGCAGATAAGATAAATAAGAAACGGTCTCCAACATGGAATCACGTTGATCGAAAGCGTTATATGAACAAAGCAATTATTATTTCATGCCGATTGTAGAACGAAACACTTGAAGCATTTGCCATTTGATTCCTTAGGGATATGTTTTGCAGAATGCTACATTTTGACGATTTATAATAATCGTTGACTTAAAATTCTATTTTTTTTTACACGAGTAGTGCAAACGCCTTTTCAAAGTCTCTATTATCTTAAAGAAATATGTTTAGCATTAGCAATAAGACCTGGTCGCCCCTCAACTAAGAGAACGAAAGATTTCTGGCCTTGGTTAGGTTTTCAGCCCCACGATGTAGCGCTGGTAAAAAAACTTATTGAGATGGTATATCTTTCCTTCGTAATTCTTACGAAAATTTAGTGAAAGTTTTCCTACAAAAACTTAGTGAAAATGTGATCACTTTTGTCAAGACCATTATATAGGTGGTGCGGTCTTTTTAAGATTTGAATATTCAAATTGTATTAAATGCGAAACATTTGTGGACTCTATTATCAAATGGCGCAAAATAGCGTGAAAGATTAAGTTTATAATGTGAGTTTAGATTATTAAGCTTCCCGGGTTTTGAAGACTTCATTCATGGATGCAGTTTTCTCACACTGGATTAATTCTATGGCAAAAAATCCGCATGTTTTTTAAAACAATAATCAGTCTTTTAAAATGCCAACGAAGCGAAGTTAGTGAAGACGCCTATCTAGGTCAGGTTTATTTTTTGTCTAGTTATCTGAATGAAAGTCTCAAATGTTTTAGAGGAAAGTTGTGGTCAAATTTGATTTTTCGCAGCTTTTGATTTTTTCAACTTCAATTTAGATTGATGGTTCAAACAAATGGTTCAAGAAAAATAGAACGATTTCTGTTTTGAAAGTTGTTTTTAATTAAGTTTCAATAAAGGTAGTGAAGGCAACTTTCATAGGTCGTCATTCTTTTTTGTTTGTTTTTTTAGACATAGAATTGTTCAAGCCGATTTCGATTTTTTTCGGTTTGACTTTTGATTTCTTCTTGAGTTCAATTGAATTTCATTTGCTAAAACAAAAGATAAAAGATTGCTCTCAAATAACGAAAGCGTAAATGGTATCTGAACGTGAACCCTCTCTTGTTACGAAAATTAATGTTTTAACAGAAATGACAGCGAAAAATATCTTTTGCTCCAGTTTTCTCAAACCAGAGTCAATTAGCTTAGTGAAGATTCTTACATAAGTGATGAATTTAAGTGTTTTCCAGGAAGACGTCTAAAAAAATGATCAGGCTGAGTTTATGCTTTTCGATTTTGATTTCTTTTTGAGTTGAGTTCATTTTTTTGTTGAAGCAGGCAAACTCCACTATCGACCAGCAAAATTATAAAGGGGACGAAAAACGTGAATGACTTCGAAAAAAAATTACATTTTCATATTTCCGAGCGCAATAAAAAAAATTTCGTATAAATCCAGTGTTCAAAGAAGAGCCTTGAGGCCATTTATTCTTTTCGAATTTTGAAGTTTTAAATAAACACATTTGTTTTTTTTCTGCTCCTTGATTTCATTGACTGTTTTCCAAATTTCTGATGGCTAGGTATAGATAAATGTCTATCATACATTTTTGTAGAAAAAGAGAAGCGCTTCGAAATGATATGAATTTTTAGAAATTCGAAGTATGAAATTCAAGTTTTTTTTAGTTTTCTCCAGTTCATTTACTCTTTTTGAACTGTCTAATGGCTATGCTCAATTTTCTCGGTTTATATGACGATTTTCAGAAGTACTTCCGGCTTTTTCTGACAAATTGAGCTGTTATTGAAAACAAGAAATGCTATCGAACGTTTACAGAAAATAACTTCCAATGCGAAGATGAAGTAAATAAATCACTGTTGAGCAGTTTCTTGATAATAAGAAATGTGTTTCTGTGCATCAACAAATTAGCTGATTTTCTAATGCAGATGAACGGAAATTCTTGTGCGCGAAAGACTCGGTGGTTAGCTTGTTGGTTATTTTTTGGATTTGTTTTTTTTTGAACAAATGATTATGAACGCAACGATTTTTAACTTCATCTCGATTGGCTGTGTAAACAAAAAATAGTTAAAATTTGTGTTCAATTATTCTCAATCTTGGTGGGTTTTATTCCCAAAATGTTTTTCTAAAGGGAGGATAAGTCACGCAAAATCAAATGAGCAACTGTCACTATAAAGCTACTGATTTTCATCAAAAATGTGTTGTCCACAAATATGATTTTTTTAAATATTTTTTTTTCAAAGTGGTCGAGTTTTGTCAAAAAATAACAACTCTAACAGCTTTTCAGGATTTCAAAGAGGTCAATGTTGCTGTAGCGTATTCCACGAAGCTCGAGAATTGGAAAAGGATCGTTGAAAAAAAATCCTTTGTTTTTAGTTGAGCTCATTAACCCTTTTCCAACTCTGTTTGCTTAAACTTTGTGTTTGCTTTTCAACTAATTATTGAATGTTGATTTACTTAATCAAATCATAAGAATTTGATTTAATCCAAAACTTTTTAATTTTTTCATGCTCTATTTTGCCGTGATGATTTTACGCTTGCAATAAACAAGCTTTAACAAACTGGAATCTTGATTTTTTTTTCTATTTAACAACTAGTTTAACTGAATCATTTGATAGCTTCCTTCATTAATGAAGGTATTCTTCATGAAAATGTGGGTCCAGAAGTGTGGTGCTAAGGCACCGGGCTATCTCGCGAAGGATGAAGCGTTCGAATCCGAGACCATTGGAAATTTTCTAAATCGATGAACGTAGTTCAGACTTTTATATCGGTCGCGATGCTTTGTTTTTTGGTTTTTTAAAATTTACTTTGTCTCGCTCTAACTTTTGATTTCTTCATGAAGTGCAGTTCATTTACTTTGATAAAAGAAGAGTCAATTCCACTAGCGAGTGTAAAAATCATGAAAAACGTGATCGACTTCCAATTTTGAAAAGGGAATTTAACTATCAGGATTTCTCAGCGGAATAAAAATTTTCCCAATGCTCCAGTTTTCTCAAATTGGGTTAATTTTATCAAAAAAAGCTAATTATAAATTTTTCTAGAAATTCAAAGAGGTTTAAGGTCATCTATTTTGTCTTCGAAATTCGAAGGATGAGATTTTTTCATAACACAACTTAGTTTTTTTTTTGTTTTTTCTTGTGTTCATTTCTCTTTTCCAAGTGTCAGTTGGCTATGTTCATCATAGTTGTAAGTGTTGTTCATTGTGCTTTAAGGGGACTTGAACATTTTTTTACAATATCTATTTCTTGTTTCGGCTCAGCTGGTGTCTGCTCAAAAATTGTTGGCTTCGTTTCCAATTCGTCAGTTTTGTTCCGCTGCTAATTTAAAATTCAAATGTTTTGCTTAGCATGTTCGCCTAGATTGAAAACTCATCAAGACATACGAACATTTTAGTAGATCTAGTTTTTTTTTCAAAATTTTTAGATTTTTTGTACTTCTATTGTTTTTTATGCTTGTGCTGTATCGCAAGTGATGCGAAGCTCCGCTCCACCTCTGTGTAGAATGTTGCCCTGTTCAAGTTAATTTTGTTATGTTGAATGTTCAAGTGTTTCTCATTATATGATTTGAAGTGAAAATAGAGGGTAAACACAAATAAAATTGTTGAAATTGAAAACATTTTATTAGTTTATATATTTTGCCTTGTTAGACATCGAACTTGCCTAATTATTGAACCTCGTCATTTCAAGGCTACTTCCACTTACCTCTATACTAAGCCTAATTATTGAACCTCGTCATTTCAAGGCTACCTCTAGCCTAATTATTGAACCTCATCTCATCATTTCAAGGCTACTTCCACTTAGTATAGAGGTAAGTGGAAGTGGTTACACCAGGGAGCGGTGGTGAAGTGGTTACGTCTCCGCCTCTCAATCGAAAGGTCGGATGTTCGAGGCCCACCATGATCCGTGCTCGTTGCTTGAGGGTGAAGCAACACTACACAGCCCAGAAAAATAACCAAAAAAATAGCATGTAGTTCTTAAACAGGGGCACAACAGCGGTTCGCCGTGATGAGCTGTACAGCTCTTGTGTTGGTCCTTTCCCCCGTGGATAAATGGTCTTAATTTAATTAAGGCAACGCGGTTGCCTTTGCCTTTTCATGGCTGATCTTTTCTTTCAGTTTATAAAATTTTGAAAAGTTGCAGCAGTGTCAAGAAAAACCGGTCTGAATATTTTTATTTTCTGACTAAATACGACGAAATTGTTGAGATGCTAGCCTCCCGAATTTTTTTCTTAAGTTTTAAGGTTACTTCAACGTTTTTGAAGTATAGTTAATTTTTTGTTGTTTTGCTTACCTAGTTCAAACGCATTCTCTAAAACAAAATATATACTACAAAATTTCAAATACCTATTTTTTGGATTTAAAAAGCTTCATTTTTGGAATTTTTTTGGAAATCAATATGCTTGCAACATTCTTGGCGGGAGAACTATAGAGATAGCCGTTCGAAAAAAAAAATTGAGTTAAAATGGTTCGAAACAATTTGTAGAGGTAGAATTGAATTGCAAATTTGTCTATCAATAAACTGCTATCAATAAAATCGTCATTTACACTTTGCAAAAAGAATTCAGCATTGCAATTTAGTACCTGAGTTTTTAATGTATGCAATCAGTCATTGAAATAAACAAGTACGATGACACTACGAGTCAATCATCTGACAGCCAATTAGCATCACTTCTCACAAAAACTCATTATCATAACCCACATCCAGTTTGGAATTTATACCTAACTAACGTACTTTGTCATCATGTGGACTATTGAAAAATGGGATATTGAAAAAGTGATGATTTTTCAAATCGATACTGTATAGACTGATATCCCAAAATGTTTTTGCTACTAGCGCTGCTTCACGTAAGGCATATGTATTTAATCTTCGATGATTCGCTAACTGATTTTACACTTGCTCTTTTTGCTGCGTCTGTGTCGACGTCTGTGTCTCTGTCCCGCAGCGTGCATCGCACCGAGCGTGCCACCGGCACAATGCGCTGAAAATTGATGACTTCCTGGTACCTGGATTCCGCCGATGAACCCATGAGCTCCTTCTTCATCATCACTGGAGCTGCTGGTACTACTCGAGCTGTCCGAATAGTACTCCCAGGGTAGGGTGCTGAAGCCTCTTTCCGAGGAGCTTCCGACTGTACAGTCCTCAGGATCTGAGCAGTACTCGTGATTATAGTGGTGCTGCTTATAGTGATGATGGTAATGCGACGAATTGTGTCTCCGAGGCCTCCGTGAGCAACGTGATCTTGACTTATAGTGACTTTTTCTGAACTGATACTCGGGTTCCACGACTCCCGAGGACTCGCCATAAATGTCATCATTAGAGTTGGTTCTTGGCAGTGAACTGCTTCGCGTCCGCTCTCGTACATTCGGGTTAAAGCTGACGTTCTTAGAGTTCACACAACTAGCAGCAAATTCTTCTTCGATAGTTTTGATTTTCAAGTTTGACTTCTTTTTGTTTAAGTCTGGCAATGACCGTTGGAACTTCGCCATAGCCGATTCTGAATAAACGTGCTCGTCACCTCGTATCACTAATTGCTCATCCGCTGTGTTCGGATCATGAGTCATCGTTATTGAAGTTATTCCAATCAGTGTTTTTTCGGGTGAAGCGTGACCCTTCATGAAGGCTGGTTTTGGCGGTAGTGGCGGCGGTTCCTCTCCCGTTGTTGGATCGTATATGTCTGAATTCACCGGGGGAGTATCAAGATGACTGCTGGTCATTGAGGACACTGCGCTATCGTTGTCTCCTTCTTCTTCTTTGGAGAATTCTCCAGAAATCGATTGAGGCATACCGCTGTTTGCTTTCGTCTGATCTCCCGACATAACCGTTGATGTTTTTGGCGGGACATAGTTGAAGGGCTTGACAAAATTTTTGGGACTGGTTGTTGTTGCAGCGCTTCGCGACAAAGGCGGTTGCTTGGCCGGTGCTATCTGTGATGGTTTGTTGTTTTTTGTCCAGCCTGCAGAGGCTGCCGTCAATGTGTTGTTATTTGTTAGTGTTGTTGTCATCATATCGTTTGATATATTGACAGCTGTGTTAGTATGAGTTGAGGTTGAAATCGCAGCAGAAGCGTTCGCTGCTTGATTTGATGCTGCGGCTGGGTTTGAGGAGGCGGGTAGTTCTAAGCTACTGATTGATGTTAGTGTTAAATTTTGGGCCAATCTGTCGAGGACAGGAAGAGCGTTGTTTCCACCGGTTTTCTGTGAAGTATAATCTTTTCCCTGAAACAAATGCAAACTTATAACAAGGATAGCTGGCTACTGGGCAAATAGAACAGAATGTTCCGACCAGTCTTAGAAAACACACAATTTTTTTTTCAAATTTGTGTCGTTTTCATGGTTGTTATGAAAAAAGATCTGAACTAATCACAGTAAAATAAGCAAACTGAACAACAGCTTTTGAAAAAAAAATGATCCGAATTTTAAAGTGGCTTGAATCACGACTGAAATTGCATTTATATGATGTGTCTTTAGACCCATTCCGATTAATATTTGTATCTGATTTTGCGTGGAAAACAACTACTTCAGCTTTTCAACAAATTTCTTGAGCTCAGCTTTAACAAAAGATTTTCAGCTCTAACAAAAATGCAAGCTCAATGAAAACAAGAAATCAATGCTACGCAATATGTTTTTAATGAAAACTTTGGAGTATGCTAAGCGACTGGTATGCTGAAATCTTGACCCAATTATGTCGTTTTAGGGGGCTTAAATTTTGACAATAAAAGTTTATGGCGCCAATTATGGAGTTTGCTTACTTTTGTTCCATTCTGTAGCAATTAAACTGAAGTTTCAGGTATGTTTCTTCTTGCATCTTCTTTTTTCTTTTCTGATCTTTGTATATTCTTGCTTCCAAAAAAATTTTTGACAATCATATATGAACTTTCCGTTTGCGACATTTGTTATTTGTATCCGACGTTTTTTATACACGCTTTCAGTTTGAAAAAAGCAAAACTTGTAGGCGGCTTTTTGTTTGATTTTTCTTTTCATTTATTTTCATTGTTCGTTCGAATGCAAGCTTTTTTATTATAACTTCAAATTCAGTCAACAATTTGAAGTTATAATAAAAAGGCGCAAATGCTGTAGAGGTAACACTACTGCTTGAAATGGCAACAGCCTGTGGTTCGAAATCGACCGGGACCTGTTTTTTGCGAACTTGATTTTTTGTGCTTTTCCGGGCTTTCGTCCATCTGCCTGTTTTGTCGGCGTGATTCCCGTAACCCGACTGTGTTGAATTTTTAGCTTGCTACTAGGTTGCTGTAAAACTCATGCCTGAGAAGACAGTGTACAGGAGTTCGATTCCAGTCGGGACATTTTTCTTTGCAAATTGAAAACTAACGGCCATTTTAAATTTTTGCTGACGTAGTTCCCACAGAAAGGAGTTTTTCGAAAATTCGAAAATTTTCTAGCATTCGGAAAGCTCCTAGTAAATTTTTAATGGGTGCGGGTATTTTTGTTCCGAATATTTTGGGCTTTTTTGCAATTTTTTTTTGACGAAAATGATTTTTTGAAGTTTTTCTTTTCATTGTTTTTTCAGCTAATTTCAATCATTGTCATTCGTTTTTGATACACCCCTATGTTGATTTTGACTTCAGGTTATCTTGTATTTGTTGGTAACAATTTTTGATGGACGACAAGAATTTGTCGCAGGTAAAAGCAAAATTTAGTTGCAAGCGACACTTCGTCGCAATAAAAACCATGATAATTCATCGTATATCAATAAAATTCGGATTTTGTGCAGCTCCATGAAAAAAGCCATAATCACGCTGATTTTTATAAGCTTCATTTCTGCGCATTGATAATCAGTTTGTCTCAGATTTTTAAATTGCTATACGGCGAATTGTTTTTGTTTGAAATGAAACCTTGTGTCGGCTGAGACCAATTGTTGTTTGCGACAAATAATTTGCGCCTTTAAGATTTGAATATTGCATTCTAGTGTTTTGATGAAAATTCGATTTAGAAAAGTTGAAAACGGCAAAACAGCATCTTGATGAAAGCAAAAAAATTTCTGTTGCAGTTGAAAAAGAACTGATTTCTTTTGCGATTGGGCTATTTTTTTTCTTCAGACCGTTTTTGAAGACAACATTAAGCATCAATTGCGTTGAATCATTTAATGAAATGATTTTAAAATCAGAATGAATTTTACCAAAGTTTTTTGAGATATAAAGTTTTCAAGTTTTCAGTGTTCATTACTTTTGTGATAAATAAGGTTACTGCAATCGGGTACTAGAATTTTCCCGGAAAAAACTTTGTTCACAAGACTCTTCTCATGTGGACTTATTTCCTAGAAGTCTGTTAGCAAAAATTTTACTGCTACAGATATGTTTTGTGTCCTATTTGAAATGATCTTTTTAGGTTGGTTGTATTTTTACTAGACTTGTTAAAATTTCGTTATTTTTTGTTTTTTATTCCTTTTTGTTCAGCTTGATAAGTTTGGGCCTTTTTTATCATCTTTGTAGTCTCACTTTGCGTTCTATCATTCGACGAGCGAAAAGTTTTTCGTGTGTGAGTATGTGTTTTGTGTGTGATGGGACTTAATAAGTTTTTATTAGTCTTAATTTTTTTTCTGTTGTTTTTTCGACCTGATAGGTTTTGGCCTTTATTAGATGAGATTTGTGCCTTAGGGCTTTTTTATTTTTCTTTTTATTTCGGCTTAATAGGTTTCGGCCATTATTATTTCAACTTCTGGCTTCATATCGGTTCATTTGACGCTCGAATGAAATTTATGTGTGTGTGTGTGTGTGTGTCTTTGAGCGTGAGGGAGGCTTAGTATTTTTTCAAAAAATTTTCGGCTTAAAGGGTTTCAGTTAAGGTATTTTCGGCTTTGTTACTGCCTGATAATTTTTCTTTCGATGCTTTTTTACATTCTATTCTCTTGGCACGTTTTGTTTTCGAAACTAACCATGTTTTTTGACATTTACAGCCTGATAGTTACTTCTTTTTATATAATGATCGCAGCTTGTAAGCAGTGATCAAATCCACACTCAAAACTCAATCCGGAAACGTATTAACGTTTTCCTTGGAGACGAAATGTGCCTCAAAGATAATTTTTTTTCACTTCTAAATTAATTTCCCCTGTTTTCAAATATAGATAGCTGTTTCGTAATATAAACTTTTTCCCCTGCAAATTTCAATTAATCTCCCTTATTCCTATTAGGCAAAGAGGTAAACAAGATAAATGACCTTCATCATTAAATGTGATTTGCATAGATTACATTGGCTAAGCCTAACTAAAATTATAATAGGTGGAATAGTTTTGATGAAATAGCACAATCCTATCCCAAACGAGTTTGCCGAAAAAGGAAGAGTACGAGGTACAAGTTCCGGCTTCTGCTGACAAATTTTCAATTGATGAATGGTTATGACGTCTATTTTTTTGAAACACAGAAAATGAAACTAAAGAGGAAAAATAAGAACATATTCTTGCCCATATCGAAAGATAATTGACTTTTTTATAGTGAAGCAAAAATGAGTCTGAAGGAACTCTTTTATATCTGCATCAATTTATCCTTTAAAAATCCTATTTAACTTTTGTTTTCCCTCAGCGTAGATATGCGTGAAAGCCCAACTTCGTTTAACTTCATTTTGAATTTAGGATTTTCAAAGATATTCTAATAAGGTTGATAAGTTATCAGCAAAAATATCAGATTTAGAACAGATTCTACGAAGTTTGCAATAATTTGCAGAAGATATCTCAATTTTTTAAATAACTTTTATTAAATTGTTTTTATTAACTAACGGAGGCTGTCATAAGGCTGTTGGTGTTGCTAGCGTGGATTGCAGTGGCACTATCTGATTGGCTGATCGATGAAGCCCCTCCCCCTGCCCCTCCCTGGGTCACAGCTGCCCCAGTCAGAGTATTATTACCCCCAGTAGAAAGACTATTGGTATTGTAATGTGCGATATTGCATGCAAGACTGCAGAAGAGACTCTTCCGCTTGGGCAGGAAGGGGAGGCCGAGGAGTGCTTTGGTGCAGTGGGCACAACAGAAGCAGGAGTCGGTGGCGTGCCAGTGCTGGTTCTCATAGCTCATCTGGCCCTCGTCCACACCTGAGACCAAAAAACAATCTAGCAATCAATAAACAAAGAATAAACAATCAATAAAACGAAATTGCATCAATCGATCTTTATGCTTCCCAATTCACCGAAACAATTATAACATCCTCAAATGGCGAATTCAAATAAGAAACTCCAAATTGAATTTAACCTCTGTTCCAATATGAAACAGTTCGTTTCATTAGAAGAGAGGATATCAATTTAAATTAGTCATAACGCTTGGGATAACAAGTGTATTACTATCGGTATTCGTCTTTTTTTCTCCTATAAACCACTTTTCACCCAGAATTCATGCGTTTGCGCTTGTCTCTTTTTAATTAAAACTACAGCGTAGACCACACGCTTTATTTTTGCTGCACCTTGTTTCCGTTCAAGCTGTTTTAAAATATTGTTCGGACTCAAGAAAAAAGTGACGGAATATTTGGGCTCGGAGTCGTTTTTCGTTCTCTTGACCAATTTCGGCGTTTTATTTAACTATTTTGTCATAGTTGGTGTTAATATTGCGTTAAAAGACGCTATGAACATCCTATTCTACTTCGCATAGCAGGCGGGGAAACTTTTCAACAACTTCACAATCAGATAAACAGCTTAAAGCAATAGCTAAAATGAAAATCCGAATGGTTTACAATTATCTGATAAATAACAATTAAAATCATTTTTTGTAAATTGCAAAAAACTGTTAAATTAAGCCATTATTAATCTTCTCTTGTTCTCATTTCCATTTTTTTAAATGCCATTGACGTTAAATCAATTAAAAACAATTAAATTTAGATATTTACTTTTTCAATATTTTTGAATGCTATTATTTCATAAGATCAATATAATTATTAATATAAGATTTCAAAAGTATTTTGTTAAGAATCTATAGTTGAGATTGAAGTTTCTCAGTGGGAGCGAGCCGGTCGAAACTTGGATTTCTTGGCACGAAACATGAACGTTTTAAACAAGTCGTTTCAAACAAAATAATTTTTTTGTTGGTTCGCTCAAAGAATAAGCGGAACAATTTGTCTCGAGGAAATAGTGAAAAAAGTAACGCGCAAGCATTACTTTGATTCGGCTAGGAAATCAATCCAAATTGAAACAAGACTGCTCGTATCAGGGCAAAGCCCTGAATGCAAAGCCCTGAATGTTCCGACTGCCTTTTAAGGTCTATGGAGCAGTAATAGCATGAAAAACTTAAATGTAATAAAATAAAATTGATTTTTTTTTCAAAAACTGAGATTTTTTGTGAAAATCATCCCTCCACACGCCATATAAAGTACACAGTGATAAATTTCGCTTCTAGTAACAAATCATTTATGGCAAATAAGCTTCCTTCAACCAATTTGGAACGATTTCTAAGATGGATTAAATCTACGCTTACGCGTTAATAGCGCGAAATATATCGCGCGTTAATTGTCCCAAATTGGCTAAAATGCCAAGCTTTGAACCCCCATAACTTTACGAAAAACAATCAAAGGTGAAATATCTTTTCGAATTTAAGCTCAGGACGACAATACATTTTGAATGATAAAAAAAATTCCGTCAAAAATGGCTAGTTAAAAAGTTGAAATTTGTCTGAAGAAAAAACCCATCCCGAGCACAAATATTCCGTTCGTTTTGTATCAAAAGTCTGAAAAATAAGACAAGCAATTTCAAAAATCAGCAATAGATCAGCGCTAGTTTTTGAAAATCAAAATGATACTTGCTCGCCCAAGTGAGCTATTTTTTTTCTCAAGTTTTAGTTGAATAGTTGAAACCATTAAAAGTTGAACCATAAAGAGTTTCCGACACTTCATTGAGATCTCATCGTTTAAATCACAGCCAGATTAAAATACAAAGCCACTAAAATTGATCGGATCAAAATAATTGAAAATTGTCCATCTTCATAAAAGTTAAGGATAATTTTAAATCTTGGACTTCTTTTAACGAAATTCAATTGATATATCAATTGATTGGTTTATCTACTGAAACATATTTCACTACATATTACTTTAAGTTAAACTAAACTATACGTCCGCTCAAAAACAAATAATTTTTTAATTTGAAAAACAAATTAGTTATTTTCTGTTTTAAGAAAAACTGTTTTTTGATTTTCTGATTTTTTTTCATATTTGATTTTTTTTGTGAGACAAATTTTAATTCGTAACTAATTGTATTTGAAGCTTTTGATGAAACACAAAAAATATTGACGGTGCACTAATCTAGACAAATACATTTCAAATGAATTACTTTTTTTGTTCTGTTTTGCGTATTTAAAAAGCACCAATTTGAAACATTTAAGGCACTCTTTATTTCGTTTTTTATTGGAGCGCAACCGATATACTGATCTGGCTTAGAAATTATTCCAAAACTAAGTGAGAACGTAATATTGCGAGACAGTGCTGTATTTCCTTTTTTCATACTTTGCTTTTATTGACGATATACAATATACTAGAGTGGCTTAGAAATATTTCCGAAATTAAACAATAATTTAAAATTGCGATAATAGCAAACGTTTTTTTCAACTAAGACTGCGTGTGGGGAAAAAATTTCACATTTAAAACTTCTATAGAAATTGAAATAAGTTTTTTTATTGCAAAGAAAATATTTTAAGCCAAAAGCCGAAAAGTCTGCGACCATTTTTGCTCCAATTTTTGAAGAAAATGAGGAATATGTTTGCTTTGGGTCGTTTTTTATTTCAGACCAATTTTACAGAAAAATTTAGGGATCGTGTGGATCGATTTCGGGCTTGACGATTGCCAAGTGAGTATGCTTGTCACTAGACTAAAGGCAGTAGAAATCGTTTGATTACTACTCGATATTTTCAATGCACGTATTATTTATGTGTTAAAATTTATTCCGCACTCATAATCGTCCCAATTTGAAATGAGGCAAATAGATTGGTTCTCAATTTGACTCAATAGTTAACACTTTGATATTGACATTCAAAAATTTCTAGTTTCTCAAAATGCTTTTAGAGACCAGCTAAGGAGCAATCGGAACGTTCAGGGCTGTGCCCTGATATACGGAATTCTTGTTGCTCTGCCTTTGGAAGAAAGTTAGGGTTATATATGCTCGGGGTGGTTTTTTTATTCAAACCACTTTTACAAAAATCTACATGGGGCCAGCCGCGTGTGCACACCACTATAGTTGCCGGCCATGTTTATGACTTAGACTGCTTGTTTTATTATCCCGTACTACAAAATCGATCCAGATTCGTGAATTAAATCGTTTTAATAACTCCATACTGGACTCTAATTGCAACACTTAATTTTTGATATTATAACTTTAAAATTCATAGTTTTGCCAATATATAATTAATCTAAAGCTTTGTCGTGATACGAGCAGTCTGTTTCAAGTTTATGAGGGTTTGAAAACTTTTCTGTAGCGTTTGAGGGACATTTTTCAAAACAAAAATGATACAAACTATACACTCACAGACAAAAAATTCATTTAAAGAAACAACATTGAAACAAAAAGTTGAAAATATTATTAAAAAACATCTGATTTCGGAAAGATATTCGACTGTTTAAATCCTAGTCTGTATATCAGGAATTTTTTTTTAAGTTAAATCTACTGCTCAAAAAGTTCCAAGCTGATCTTTTAATTGACATTGATGGACACAAATCCCTCTCTAATTCCCTTTCCCTGAAAATCCTCCCAAATCCCCAAAAGTCCTACCATCCCCGGGACTTCAATGTGTTTATTAAGCGGGGAATTTGCAGTCAATTTCATCGATTAGCTTGACAGTTGGCGAAATTCATAACAGTGAAAGTACAAATCGTGTTATTTATAAAAAAAAAGAATGGAAAATGGGAAAAAATTATTTATTTTGAAGTCTGTCGTGAAAGATCTTGAAATAGAAAACAAGACTGCTCGTATCAGGGCGAAGCCCTGAATGTTCCGACTGCCTTTTAAGGTTTTATGGAGCAGTAATAACATTAAAAAATTAAATGTAATAAAATTTAAAAAAATTTTTTTTTTTTTAATTTGAATTTTTTTTTTTAAATCATCCCCCCACACGCCATTTAAAGTACAAAAAGATAGATTTAGCTCCTTGTAACCAATCAATTATGGCAAATAAGCTTCTTTTAACCAATTTGAAACGATTTTAAGACGGATTAACTCTCCGCTTACGCGTTAATAGCGCGAAATACATTGCGCGTTAATTGTCCCAAATTGGCCAAAATGGCAATCTTTAAACCCCCATAACTTTACGAAAAATGATCACAGGTGAAATATCTTTTCAAATTTGAGCTCAAGACAACAATACCTTTCGAATGATATAAAAAAATTCCGTCAAAAATGGCTAGTTAAAAAGTCGAAACTTGTCCGAAGAAAAAAAAACCCACCCGAGCACAAATATTCCGTTACTTTCGTATCGAAAGTCGGAACAATAATATGACTCTTTTCCACTTGAATTCCAGAATATTTTAAATTAAATTTATTACTCAAATTGTTGTAAGAGCATCTCATTCATTCGACTTCAGAACAAAAAAGAACAACAAAACTGAATAAATTTATAACGAAAAAAGCGACAAATTTTGATGTAAAAGTAAATTAAATTTTCACTTTAGATTCTTTGAACGTCATTTCAATTAAAATTTGGTCGAAACATCAAAGTCGGAGCTTAATTAAATTTGGGAAAAACCAAGGAATACAGATCAAAGTTAATGAAATTTCACGCTTTTTGTAGCAATTTCATTGCACCTTCATTAGGTGCAATTGCTAATTCATTTTTCACATGATTTTTTTTTGTAACTCATCTTTCATTCGGCAGCTTTTAAGACATGTTGGCGGCTTTGAGAAATAAGCCGAAAAACAACAATGGTTTCTCAACTTATATGACACCGTTTATCGCTGATTTATAGAGATTATTTTGAAAAAAGCGTATCAAATATCTGTTCCAAAGGCGGAAGTTGAAAGAATTTAGAAAATTATGACTACGGTGTGACTGTGGCACAGGATATTATTGACACCATTGCCCATTTAATACAAAAGAGAACCGCGCCGCGCGACGTTAAAAATAAAAAGTAAATCGAGCTCAAAGCTGAATTTTAAAAAATCAAAAGAAGACGCAGTGTACAATTTAGGCCAAATACTGTTGATGTTTTGAGCTTTTTGATAATTCTCCTTTGAGTCTGTTGGTCCGGAAAACGCATTATTTGTTGGAATTTGTTGTCAATGTCGGATGTTTGAATGCTTTGTCAGATGGGTTGTTTCTTTTTAGTAACCCCGTCCACCTAAGTCGACTGCGGAAGGTTGCGGTTTTTTATCCGTTGAGAGCTCAAATCAATCTTTTCAGGAATGCTTGAATGAAACGGATTAGTCGAATGGAAAAAATGGTACATTTTTTGGCTTTTTTAACAGGAAGTTTGTTGCTCATGATCATCATGTTGTTCATTTAATCCGATTGTACTGGGGGTTGATAAAATCAGATCATGTTCTACTGAGAAGAGAAAGTATACTGACCGATGACTTGTTGGCACGTGGAGCAGTGCTGGGCGAATATGGACTCGTAGCAGTGGATGCAGTATGGCTGTGTCTGGTGCATGATGTATCTCTGGCCCCCCAGCTGGCTGTCACAGTGCACACAGCAGAAGTGGTCCAGGTGCCACCACCCTCCCTCAGCCTCCGTGCACTCGTCCGAGAAGATGATCTACAACACAAACACACCCACACATAACACACAACATATAAAATACATAACTGACGAGGATTATTTGTCAAACAGTGTGATAAAAATTGAATTATTTAAAAAATAAAGGATTCATAAATAGAGAGACTTAATTATGAACAAATAAAAGTTGAATATTTCATGGATTTGGGACGTAAAAAAGGCCTCTTAAAACAGCAAGTAAAATAAGATTTTCCGAAAAATTAAAAGATTTAAAGATTGGCCAGCACCTAAGTAACATTTTAAGAAAATGGTCTGCTGAATGCGCCAAATTAGGGATGTGCGGTTCAGCAAATTCAGAATCAGTTAAATTCTTATTCAACCCGGGCTTTTACCAATTCAATTGAATTAACTATTCAAAAACAATTCAAATCGATTAAAATATTAAAAATAAAAGGTAAGAGTGCATCCAAATTTTTCTGAAACTTTTTGGGTGTGACAACTTTTTTAGAAAAAATAAGCATCCTAACATTCATGAGCGACCCAAACTCGCTCCAATCGCACTTTAGTGACGTAAATTGCTGGCAGAATTTTAGAGGCTTTGTAAGCTATTTTTTATGGAAATATGCTTTCTCCGACACCTAAATAACTAACATTTCCACAGCAACCAATTTAACTTCACTTCAATTGTCTGAAATCTATTCATTGAGCTGGTAATTTGAATGCATCACACACCCCTCAGCTTAATGTTAAAAAAGGTCGAATGACTGAAGATAGACAAATAAGCTTTCATAATTAGGCTCCAGAATTTGGCGCATAATTGGGATCACCTTTTAAATTGAAGTTAGACAAATCAGTCAAAATTTTTAAAAATAGTTCTCATTTGTTCCTTTTCTAAAATAAACTCTTTCTTTCAAATTCTTTTTAAAAAATTAGGCGCAGTCACGTCGGCAGGGGCGAATTTAGGGGGGGAGGGCGACGGGGTTTGGACGCCTTACCACAGGGATTCGACCCTTGCCGACCCAAAGGGAACCCTCTTTGTACTATTTTGAGATATCCAACTTTGGATGACTGAAATTAAAAACTTTCTGAAGACGCCTTCGGCGCCAATATATAATAATTTTGAGGGGAGAGCGCGCCGAAAAACGCTATTTTTTGGTCAATTGTCCAAAAAGTGCTTAAAAACGCCTTTTTTGGCCTGTTTTTCAAAATTTAGCTTGCGGCGCAAAATTTTGTCCAAAACAGTTACTTTTTAGTGCTTTGGGAGTGCTCAAAAAGTCAATTTGGTCGACCTGAAAAAGGTTGAAAATTTTTTTATATATATGTATGATATATACATGCGGTGAAGTGGGGCAATCAATTGTTCAAAGTAATGCCACTCACATATTAGAACTCTATCTGATTTGTGGTAGTCCAAATTTTTTGGTTGGATAGTCAGATATGTATATAAAACCAGTTCGAGACCAGTTGAGGGGCAATCAGAACATTCCGCTTTCTGCCCTGATATAGAAGCAGTATTGTTGTTCCGTCTTTCGACGAAAGTGAGAAATATATATGCCCGGGGTGGCTTTGTTACTCAGACCAATTTTAGAAAAGTTGCCTACGTATGGGCATCGAACCGGAAATCTTGTGATTGCATAGCGAGTATGTGTGCAGTTGACTAAACAGCGGCTTTGCTGCTGGAATATTACTTTGACAGCTTGTTTCAAAACGCAAATTATTCATGCACTCATTATCCGCACTCATAAAAATTTCAAATTGAATTGAGGCAAGCTTATTGGTCTTATTATTTCCATAAACGACTTAAATTTTAACACTGATATTATCAGCCAAAACTTTCTAGTTTGTCAATATTTCAAATACCAAAAACGGTACGGGAACAATTAAAGGGCAGTCGAAACACACAGGGCTTTGCCTTGATACAAGCAGTCTTGTGTACACAAAAAATTTGGTTTTATTTGAACTAATCTAAAGTATATTTTCCAAAACTTTTATATTAAGCTTCGGAAAGTACGCTCAAAAAACACAAAAAAAGGCAGATGATAAATTTTTCACAAATAGAGAATTACAAATACACGAACTGAATCTATTGAAAACAAAATTAATTGGAAAAAACAAGACTTCAACTGTCAAGACGATGTTCTGAATGTTCCGACTGCGTTTTGATTTTTATGATGTATTTTTCAAAAAAAGATATTCGCAAATTAAAGTACAAACGCGATTCAAAGTACAAAGTGATACATTCTGCATGCCTCAAAATTTTATTAGCACGAAATATGTAGCGCGTTAATTATCCCAAATTGGCCAATTAAAACCCCATAACTTTTTTAAAAAAAAATTAATCACAGGTAAAATATATATATTTTTTAATTTGAGCTGAAAACAACAGCACATAGTGAATGATACAAAATTTTTCTGTTAAAATGGCTAGTCAAAAAGTCGAAATTTGACTGGAGGAAAACAACTACCCTGAGCGCAAATATTCCGTCATTTTCTTCGAAAGTCGTAAGAAAAAGTATCTGTAGTTTTATAGCCTGCAAAGGTATCCGGCAAAACTTTGCCTGGCAGAAACCGGAGTAGCGAAATCAAAACTCTGAATGTTAAAATTTAAGCGGAAAAATTGATAACAAACATTATGAAAAGAATAATAGCTAACTAATTTATAGCTGAGAACACTTGAAAAAAGTAACAGCTTACAAAATCAAAATTTCTACCAAAAATACCGCAAATATTGAACGGTTCATTAGAAACATCATGATTATTTTCGAACTTTATTTGCAACTGTTCATCTGAGGTAATAAGTGTTTAAGCAATATTTTTGTTTTTTGAAGGAGTGCAATAAATTTTTTGTTCCATGGATGACATCAAGTATTTCGCAATATCTTTGCAGATGGGCAGCCAGGGACTTTTAGTTTACCAGTAAACAGTTTGAGAATGATGATTGATGGGTACTAGTTTACCTGTTTATTCACGTGACAAAACTAGTTTAGATTATTGAAGCCGCCTATTTTCTAAAAGCAAGAGCCAGTACGGGATTTGAACCTACGCCTTGGGATTGGTTGCCTGTTTTGTACCCGCTACACTAACTAGGCCCGTTTGGACAGCAATATAAAAGAATAAATATGCTTACTGTTTGAATTAGCTACATACTCTACCTCGGTTCTTATTAGGGACCACAGCATTTTTGAGGGACCAAACAAGTGAAGATAAAGGCATCGCGCAGACACGCAAAAAGCTAAACTGATGACCGTTTGAGGTTACTTCACGTGATGTAAGTTTGGGGTGTAGTTTCTGTAACACTATCGGTTTTGATGATGTTTTATTTCTAAAACGTTAGTTCCAGAAAATTCCGCAGAAAAATTTTGAATTAGCGTGTTTTCTGATTAAGTTTTTCATTAAATTTGAAATCAATTTTTTAATTGAAATTTCTAAAGTTTTTGATTGAAGATTTATTTTTCAAATCGAAGTTGAAGATAATTTTTTTATTGAATCATACTGGATTTTTTTTTCTTTTTTTTGATCTCTTAGTCATTCTGTTTATACAACATATTTTTATGTGAAAATATTTTTGGCCAAACCTTATGAGAATTTTTCTCCATTTTAAATGCTAATTTTTTTTGAGTTAACATCATTCCATTCATGTTTTTCATGCAATAATTATAATAGCAGAATATCACTGTTTGATAAAAAAAATGTGAGTTTCACCATTAATTTCCGGGTTGTGGCATTTAACAGAAGCTGCAGTCGCTCAAAGGATTGGAGTTGTCAATTAAAGGTAGATTTACCCGATGTACGTCCAGATAATTGCATTTCAATTCTTTCCTTTCCCATTTTCATAATAAATTAATGAAATGTACTTAAATTTGGATTTTTGATGCTAATGTGAAAACTGTGCTCTTTTTAGTTTTCTGTCTTTTCGCACAAAGGTGGACAACAAGGCCGATTCAAAAACTTCTTTTTTGTTTCGATCTTGATTTTTTATGCTAGATTCTTAAGAAGACCCCTGACAGACAATTCATACTGCAATTTAGAAACTAAATTGGGCGTCGTTAAATTAAGAAGAGACAAGAGAAAAAATTTAATGGTCTTTACATGATCTAAGATTCCTTCCATACGCAATATGATGCTTTCATTGCTCATATTGTTAAAAGTAAATAAGAACGGGAAAAGATTAAAATGCCTGCTCATTTTTACAGCTGAAATTGGTAGCCTCTGGATGTTTAAAAAAGAAGGTAAATAAATATGCATTATGAGGTCGTTCACTTCTTCAAGTAGAAAGTAAACTTTTTTAATTGAGGTCACTTTTGGCAAGGGAAATTACTTTGCTGTGGATTAAGAAATCACGTGGCCAATTTCTGAGTGAGATTGGCTGAAATTTGGGTTTATTAAGTATGCGAACTTTCATGTACTTCTTTACAAAACTACTGGCATAATTGTGAAAAATTGCCTAATTGGTATAGAACATATTGCCGTATATCTTTATGGACTCATTTATGAAATTGAGATCTAGTTAAAAGCCCCCCCCCCCGGGGGTGGTGGGGGGGGGGGGGGTGTTATGGTTAGTCACCCAGATGCCAAAAAGGCATTGGTAAGTTATCTATATTTATACAGTCTTCAATAATATCTTGATGTTTGTAGTGTTACGTGTTTAGTTTCAGAAATTGACTTGGCTCCCTTCGTCCGGTAGGAAGGTCAACACAATGTGAACAGAAAACTAACAGTTGAACCAACCTCTGACAAACATGTCAAAAGTGACATTTCCGACGAGTGACTTGGGCTGAATACTTATGCAAATTTAACCACCTAGCTCTGCAGCGCTGATTTGAACTCAGTTGTATAACGAGAGATGTTTATAAGCTGGACATAAATCTTCATTTTTCTCCTCTCGTCGGGGGCGGTCAAGCGAAGAAAGTAAAGAGAGGAAAGGAGGGCAAGGATTAAGGGCGCAGGGGAATATACTAAGCCCAAATACCCAGATAAGAGTCTATATATATATATATATCTCAAATAACCTCCGCTTCAAAATTTGAAACAAAACCCTTCCCTTCTTATGCCGTTATCTCAACGCAACAAACAAAATACACCGCATCACAAAATCTAAATAGAACACCATTTGGTGAATATACCAAAAAGTACATGTTTTACAGGAGGCAAATAATAGCCCGATTCATTTTAAATTCCACCGGTCTTTTTCTGGTAAAATAGTCTTCAGAACTCTGCAGGTTTTATCTTTCAACTTAAGAGAATGAAGAACAAAAAAGAGTCTTTGCTCTGATCAATGAAAATGATTATTAAGAGTGGCATAGGGCAAGCTACACGAGTTCGAATGATTAAAACTGAAAAGAGGGGAGAACCATTTAATTTACTTCGAAGGGAACCACAGACTAAACCCAATATAAAAGAGACACTAAATTGTCGCTGTCATACATGTAGTGAAAATCATTGATGCCAAATTGATAAAAGCTGAAATTTCTCGTTACAGCCCCCCCCTGCACCATACTATAGCGTCTTATAATAAAAAACCTTTTGCACAAACTTTTGATTCAGTGCCTGAAAAACAGCTTTTAAGGAAACAAAAAAATTAACATTATAATTTTTTAAAAACTAAAATGAAATCGCGCAAATTCTTTTTTGTATCTGAAAGGCCATATGATTGTTTCGATGTTCCAAAAAATGATCGCATCTATGCCAGCTATGGCTTTTTGTTTCCTTTTTTTTCGATGATCAATAGAACAACTTTGGCTGAATTCTTTTATTACGCTAAAGATATCGATGAAGAAATTTGGTTGATTAAATGTTCCGACTTTCGAAGATTGTTACGTGGTTCATTCTTGATGTGTTTTTTTTATTCAGTCAATTTTCGACGATCGAATTAATAGTTTTTAAAAAATTTATATACCGTATCGAATATCTACTTCTTGAGCTCAAATGTAAAAAGATATTTTACCCCCGATTATTTTTTGTTAAGTAATAAGAGTTTAAAAATGGCCAATTTGGCCCTGTTTTAGACTAAATTATGTGCGCTTGTGTAGAATTTATTCATAATGCTGAGATTGTTTTGCGAAGTATTTATGCGTGGCGAATCATCCCGCACAACAAAATCGTTCCAAATTGAATTGAGGCTAGCTAATCGGTCGCAACAGTTTCGTACGACTCAAATTTTCCCACTTGATTTTTGATATTGTTCAAAATTTAAAGATTTTCAATATTTTCTTTTCGCAAAAACTATTCGACAGCCCGGGTTGACCAAAAATGCTAGTCATACAATTTTCATATATGAAAACATGCTAATCATACATTTTTCATGCAATTCCATAAGTACAGAAAAATGTAAGAAAGGTCTAAGATTGATTAGTGATTTTTCCTATAAGGTAACTGTATGACTAGCATTTTCACACAAGTAACAAAAACCATGGTTCACTCAAAACTAGAGTCACCAAAGGTTTGATTGTCTTGCATTTACACTGCATTGGAAATGACCTGAATTGAATAAGGCTATTGTTACACAAATCATATACTAAAAGCATCAAACTTTTATATTTCGGCAAAAGTTTTCAATGATGATTACTTTTTTAAATTTGAATTTTCAAATTATCAAACAATGATCAAGGTATACATAAACATGCCATACAAAATAAAGAGTGTTTAGCTTTTTAAAAAAAGTTATCCAAAGAAACGGAAAAATTTCAACAAAACATCCAGGACTACGTTATGCACACACAAAAAACATAAATTTTTGCGTGCAAAAAACAATTTTTTGGAAAATGTTTGTTTGAATACAAAACTCGATTTGCGGTTAAACAATTTTTTTTAAAAATTGGGATAATTTCAATTTTACTTGGATAAATTTTTGTTGTCGTCATCATAAAATTGCTGGTCATACAGTTTCCATACATGGAAACTGTATGATTAGAATTCTTTCTTTGATAAAAAGTTTTTCTTTTTATTTGGGACAATACACCGACTTTTATGCCAAAACAAGAAAAAATCTCTTTGAAAACTTGATGACACCATCTTAACAAAATCCGTGAAATTTGTATGAGTAGTATTTTTTCATATACTTTGTTATAATTCTTAATGGTTAGCCTTTTTGGTCTACGGAAGTCAACCCGGGAGATATCAATTAGGGGCAGTCGGAATATTGAGAACTGTGCCCTGATATACAAGCAGTCTTGTTTACAGTCGTTTTTGCAAAGAATGGAATTTTGAATATAGCAATTTGAACAGATTAATTTAAAAACTCAATCATTAAAAGTGCTAAGGTATAGAAACAAAGCGCATAATGGTTTCGCAAACAAATCAGTATGACAAAGAATCTGATCGCAGTGCAGACAGCAAATTTATTTTACTTAAGAAAGCAGTGATTTCTGTATCGATTTTGGAAATAAGGTAATTTTGCTGGACTAACTTACGAGAGCTTAATTTCCTTTTGTCTATTATAAATAATGCATTTTGTGCGGATAAAGTGCATTCAGGTAATCATTTCAAACAAATCATAGGCAAAAATAAGTGTTTTATCAAATTGTTTTATTTGTTTTTTGATGAAATGTTTAACAAAGTTGCCTAACATTCTACAAAGTAGAATGTTAAGCGACTTTCTAAAACAATTTATCAGATAAACAAATAAAGCAAAAAAAATTGGAAAGTTTTTCATTCTATTTATTTTTTTAAGCCCCCTAGACAATATCAGTTGTCAAAAATTTGCGTCTCGTTAACGTTTAAAAGGTCAAAATCTCATTCAAAAAATTTCACCAAAAAAAACTTAACTTAAAAAAGCAGTCGGAACATCCGAGGTTTCATTGGATACGAGCAAGGTTGTTATTCAATTTTTCCATGTTAAAAAATATAATAGAAAAAATTATCATAGAGCGGAATAAATATCAGCAAATCATTTTTTTTCATGCAACACTTTTTTTCATTTAAAAACAAAAAGTTTTGTTTCGCAAACCGTTTTAAAAAAATGGACAACAAAATTAAACACAAAAAGTAAAAGCTAGATCAACCAGTACAGTAGCGTTGATTTGATTAACTTGTTGTTTTTGTTGTAAATTGGTTGAAAAATTAATGACTGAATAAAACAAGTGTAGCGAATGCTTCGCAAATAGAAGAGAAAGCTCCGAAAACATTGAGAAAAATTTTTCGAAATAAAAACAGCTTTTTGTTTCAATTTTTGTATTTTTTTATGTCGTTGTGTAATTAGAGGATCTGAAAGAATAATTTAAGAGAAATGCATAAAAAGTGTATTCGATAACATTTTATATCAAAAATTGAATATAAAAATTTAAAAAATATTAAGCCTAACTTTGCGATTTTGAAATCAAAATTTAAAAAAAGTTCTACAAAAAACTTCGAAAACTAATTTTAATGGATTTAATATAAATTTTCTTGGCACAATTTTGCAACTAGACTATTATATGTCAATCATAAGACACATTTGCACGCTTAACTTCCTCGAAATTTAAAAAAACCCAAAAATTTCAAATAGGTTTTTCTGGACAATGAAAATTTTTGATTTATCTGCAATGCCGTTTGAATCACGATTTACATAGGGCTCTACAATGAAATTGGCAGTTATATCACGCAGTCCTTCCAATCACTATTTGAGGTTCTTGATCATGCAAAGAAAATCATTTAATGAAAAAAAAATTTAAAAAGCTAAGAAAAAGTCAGTTCCTTTTTTTTCAGTGATCATATCAAGGAATCCTGCAAAAAATGCCCCTCAAAAATTGAATTGCTTTTTGTTTTGAATCAAACTCAACAACCAAAATATTTGATAAAATATACAAAGAGTATCATTACCAGATTTTCCAATCAGATTTTGCATCAGGAGATGCCGCCCGACAGGATGATGCCATTTTGGTAATCTCCCGAGCCGAAATAAGTTGTCAATGTAATTTTCTATTCATCGCCCGATTCTTAATTTTTGGCTTAAAATTGAAATTATATTTTTTATGTCAATTTATCCAAAATAGAGGTATGTCGGATAAGCTGCACAATCAGGCTATCAAGATTTTTTGAAGTTGTAATTACCTTTTCAACAAAGACAAGTTGTATCAAAACGAAGTCATGAATGAAAGCTGACTGCTGCTCTACTGCTCTTCTGCGTCTACGAAATAGTTTGATTTTGAAAATCGAGTGAAATTTTTTTTAGATGGATTTTTTCATCATATTTTTTTTACACATTCGATACATAATTTTACGAAAAAAGATCACAGGGTAAATAACTTTTACTTTGAGGCCAAAGTGTCATCTTAACTTAGGTTGTACGAAAAAACTCTGTGAAAAAAGTCATTAAAAAAGTCGAAAAATGTACTGATGGCTAGTAAAAAAAGTATGAAAAAAAAAATGCTGAACTCAAATATTCCTTCACTCTTTTCGAAAGTCGGAACAATGATGATATTCTTTTAAAGAAGAGAAAATTTAGCTTATAGCCTAAAAAAGATTCAGAATACTAATTCCTTCAAATAAAATCATCACTCACTTTTTCGGTGTCATAATAGACTCTGTTGAACTTTACTTGATATGTTGACTGCATTTTAGCGTCAAATATCGGCTGAATTGGTTGCCGAATTTCGAAAATAGATTGAACGAGAAAAAATTTTGGAAAGAAAATTCTTCTGCAGTGGTTTGTTTGAAGGATAAATTTCGAGCAAAAATGAAACTTAAATATAATCTGAGACTTGAGAAAGCAGATGAATAATGTGTCGGTTCCTCGATAAAATTTTTGTCAGAAGTTTTGTTGAAATATTTGCAACTAGTTCTGGTTATTATAAGATATCATGGGTGAATTAGGGCTGTTAAATTCAAACTATGAGCTGTGAATGAAAGATTCAATTCAGATTTAATTCTTGCCACGAGGTTCGCATTGGTGTAGATCCTTCGAAATATCAATAACTGACAAATTGGATGATAAATTCGAGTCTGGTGACCATTGGTTCACGTGTTTGCAGCCCCGTTTGGGCTCAAAATTAATTTGGGTGCGAGACTATAATCTCCCAGCTGGCAATGTTTAGAGTCAAGTTCCATTAATTTGTTTCGCTCTATTGACTCAAAAAGTGTCAAGTTTCAAGACGTGGAGTCAAGTCGCATTGGGATTAAAATGACAACTGGCCGTAATTGGATCCTGATATGCAGTTACCAATCTGTTTACGAGGAGCCCGTTTCCTTGTTAGCTGGCAAATTCCGTCGCAAGTATCGTCTTCTTAACTAAATTGTGACATTTCGATCTCCTGTTATAAAGCTCTGAAGTAAAATCGTGAACAAAATTGATCACCTTTGCCATGACTTTTAGTTTGCAAAAATAAAGTCGATGAAGTAATGTTTCTCCTTACAAATTTAAATCCATTCTTTCAGGACTGAAATTTCTGAAAGAAATAGCATCTCTTATTTCGTCTTTAACATACCCACTGAACTAATTTTTGGCTTCCGCTCAAGTTACCGGTAATAAATTATTTATAATTACAAAGTTGGAAGAAAGTAATAATGTACTGTCTGGTAAGTAAATTAGTATAATATGGTACCTCAGCAAAAACATGGAAGCAATTCCGCTGTCAGAACTTGAAGGCTTTTCATATTTATAGAAACAGCCGGACTAAGTAGAGCAATAGAAATATTTTTATGAAGATAAAAGGAAGAAAAGCTTCGATTATTGTTCCTTGATGAAACTGCTAAAAAGGATATTTGACCTTTTAAACTGCACTAATAACCCCAAGAAAGCTCGATTGAACTCAAAATAGAATCAAAAACAGTGCTTAACTTCAAAGAGTCTTCTGTGTATTTCATTTTTTTTAGTGCGAACTACTTTCGCAGAATTAGCGAATATTATAACGCGACATTCAGATTTTTTAAACTTACCAATTTTTAATATATCATTTTTTGGCTAGTGTTGAACAGTTTTTTAACCAATCGTGAAAGCAGTATATTTCAGCTTCCTTAATTGGAGAAAATGGCGTTAAATTGGTACATCTAGAAGACGTTATAAGTGATGGTATTTATTTTTCACTCAATTGCCTGACGCATGTGCTGATTTTTTGTTATGTCAGTTACATTTAGCATGCACCGGTTGAAAACGGCGCCACTATTGTAAAAATGGCAATCGAAGCTATAAGCAGGCAGTAATTTAACAGTCGAAAAACAATAAACAGAAGTTAAAGAACGATATCATAACTTGAATTAGGTCGAGATAATTTTCGCTTTTCCAATTTAACCAAACAATTATACAAGAATTTCGAAGAAAGTTCAACGGATTTAAATCCCAGGTTCAAGAGGTAAAATTTCCTGTTCTCTAGCAATTTGAAGTAGAAAACTAATTGACTTTTGGAAACCAGCTAAATGGTGAATTTTTGGAAAACTAGCTAAGCTTTGGATCAGATAATTGAGATCGATTTTTCAAGTGGCGACAAAACAATCTTGATATCACTTGAAAGTTCCTCGAAATATCTACGTTTCCTAAATTTGGGGCACATCTGGAAATTGTTTAATTGATTTCACAGTTATACCTGCTAGTTGAAAAAAAAATGTTGAGATTTCGACCGGGGAAGCTGAAAGTTCAACCGGTTGTGCAATCCCGTATCACGTCGGCAGAGCAATGTCAATCATGTGAATTGCCACGTGACGTTTGCTCGTTTTGACGCGTTTCAAAACTAAAATAACTGCTTTGACGGTGGTATTAATAGTTGGTAACTGAAGCCTCAAAACTTTTCAAATTCAGTTTCAATTTGAAATCCAAAAATCTCAGCAGCGGGTGCTGGGTTTATAATGAAACGGTTTATTTTAACTTCGGATAAATGCCTTGTTTATTTGTGCAAGTGTTGGTGTCTAGAAAACCTGAGGTTATTTGGAATCAGAGACAACAGCGACTTTGGTACTTTTTCCCGAACTCTTGAAGCAGAAGTTGGGCATATATGTCAAAACTACAAACAGGAGGCACGCTGGGGCAGATTAGAAGAGAGAGAGAGGGGGGAGTTGATGGTGGGTGTTAAGAGAATTAAGGAATGCCTTAGGGAGATTTTGCCCTAGAAAGCTTCCAGTCGAGTCCATAAAAACAGCTTGAAACATCAGATTAAAGGGTTTATTTTATCACGGAAACCGTATAATTTGTTTTCGTTTTTTTTTGTTAGATCAAATCGTTTTCAATCAAAATAAACAAAACAACAAGCATAAAAGGTACACTAGAGCTTTTTTGCTATATAATGAGAGGTATACACAAGTACTGCCTTGTATATTATGGAAGTATACTTTAATTTGCATAATAATGAGATGAAAATTGATTTTATAGTGCGGCGAGAGAGACAAATGGCGAGCGAGGGGAAGAAACAGAAGAAGTAAGAGCGAAAAAGAGATCTAAAGTGGTAAGGAAAGATACACTTGAGATGGAGGCAGGAGAAAGTTGATACCGACTGTTGGTGGTGTTTATTGTGTTAATCACAAAAGACACACAATGGACACACCGCCATGCAGACTTAATTCAGTGACTCATTTCAGCTAGATCACCTGTCAATTTTGTCTTGAAGATGGAAATATGAAGGCGAAAAACGAAGGAGGGATGACATACCCTGTACATTTGCATATATGGATTAATGATTTAATGATGAGGTTTAGAGGTAGGATGAGGGATGAAAAGAGGGGTCAAGGGGAGGGGGGTTGGAGTTGTAGCGGGTGATATGATATGCTGAAGACATGTGGTAATGATGGAGCAGAAAGTAGCTGTCAATTGCAGGAAGATTAGCTCACACCCTTTTGTTGTCTCATTCGCTCATTATTCTCTTATACAATTGTGTTCACCTCCTCTAGTCACAGATAATACAACACATTTTTTGGTCTAATTTTTTCTCCGTCAAATAGCCCAGAGCTTCCTAGACAAAAAAATTATGCATAATTTTCCTTTTTTGTGTTAAAGATAACTTACTCAGAAAACATAGTTTGTTTAATTCTGATCGGATCTACTTAACAATCTCCCCCCCCCCCCCCGTTGTATCTACTAAAGAATCCAACCCCCCCCCCCCATTGTTTCTACTAAAGAAACTCCACCTCTGTAAATAAAAACAGAAAATTCACACTCGAGCGTTGTGTGTAAATTCGAATTTTGCTGCATTCTGATTGGTCGAAAATTCGCTGCAATTAATCTACTGAACAATCCCCCCCCCCCCCTATCTTGAAGGGGGTGGAGATTGTTAAGTAGATCCTTCTTATCTAACATAACATATTGCTTCAATAATCTTCAGCTCAATAAAACAAATTCACTCAAAATGAAAGGGTTGGAAAAACGTAATTTTGAATAAGCTGGTAAGAGTTTTTAAAAAATCAATTATGTTAATAGTGTGTTCTGCTAAATAGGTTCTATTTTCGCCGAGATCATTCGACCAGGTTTCCGGAGGCAATCAATAAGGACTTTTCGCACCTATTAGTGTCTGTTGGTTTCTAAATCTGGAAGCAGTCCAGAATTACACGGGTGAACAATGTTGGCCTAAAGACTGTTAAGTTTACATATAACAACTCTGAGGCGTTACAAGGCAGAACTTTACGCAACAGACAATAAAGCGATGCCCTAGGGCATCGACTAGAGAAACACAAAGAAACGTCCAGACAATCTGAAGGGCTTCGTAAATTAGGTATAACTGGAGAGTCCACTTCGAGTTTAAAGGTGGGACTGAATGGGGTATTAAGGTGGGCTTTCATTCCAAACAAATATTCACGCTTCATTGAGTGAGTGATATCGCGGCAACATCCAATTAATCGAAACTACGATTTTTGTGCCTAAAAGCATTGCGCTTACGCAAAGTAAGCTATTCGTCAAATTCCAATCAGTTTTCAGGTTTTCATATTTTAATTTGAAAATTAATGTAAACATTCTGTAAAGCATGATTTTAATCAATTTAACACAAGGATCTCGTTAACGATCCAAACACCCCCCTCCCCCTGTTTCAGAGGGTTACAAAATACAAAACTCGAATATGCTTAATCGTTGAACTATCTCATTTAATGATAGCCCTTTTTAAAGATTTATTATAGGGGGAAATAGTTAACAAGGTCCTAACACTCTGTAGCAGGAATTTCATAATTCGACCACTTTAAATGATATTGATGTCTGATGTTAACAAATAAAATTTTTTGAAGCTCATATATGTAAGGGAAAAAAACATCAAAAATTACGACAAAAAAACTGTAAAAAAATTAGCTTGCTTTCAATCTATATATCGATGAGCCATTTATGTTATGTCAAAATAGAAAATTACCAAATAGTCCTATAAATGAAGACTCAATTGTGTCAGCTTTGTGTCTGAATAATAAACACTTGGAACCAGTTTTTCTCATCATTGAGGGCCAACTGTTTTTAACTTTGGGATAAGCAAGGGTATTGCAATCGGGAACTCGACTTTTTTCCGAAACAACTTTGTTCGCAGATGGATAATTATGAATAGTCAGTGTACCATTGCGCGGTTAATTAATAGCATGTTTACAGTTTTTGCCTGTATTTGCGTTGATTGGTCAGTGTACCACTGCATGGTTAATTAACAGCATGGTTGCTGTTTTTATATTATGTTCGAAAATTTTGGTAGATTTTCGGCTCTGAGGACGTTTGGCTTTACTTCTGTCGGCTTATTTTCCTAATGTTTTTAATTTAGTAGTTTTGATGTTTTTATAACGATTGAAACCCAACGAGATTTAAAAAAAAAAGTAAATCACCCTCCTAGGCGAACTGTAATACAAATACAAACATTATTCATAAAAGCTTGGCAACTTTTTTAAAAAATTTTTTCTATTTTCTTTCAAATAAATTTTCGGCTTCTCGGTTCATTTATTATACTAAATTCAATATGAATCAATTAACCAGCACGTCTGGCGTAGAGGTAACACATTCTTAAAATTACTAAGGCGTGTGGTCCGAAACCAGTAGGAACCTGTTTTTGTTTTCAAGCTTGATTTTTCCCTCTTTTTTCGAGCAGTCGTCCGCCTCTTTATTTTTCCGGCTTAGCTCCCGTTGCACGGACACTGTTTAAAGATTCAGTTTTTTCTTATTTTCTAACGGCCATCAGTAGAAGCAGTTGATTTTAACAAAATTTTGAATTTTTTCTTGCAGTTTTTGAAAAGTTTTTAATACAAGTTTAAAAAAAAAACAGATTTTTTTTTTTGAAAATTTTTTTTCATCAAATTTTTTTTGTCGATCAAAAACTACAAAATTTTTACGCATGCAGTTATTTTTCTCGGAAATGATTGTTTTCGGGTTTTGGTTGCTTCTTTAATTTCGTTCCGATGCAATATTATTGTTCTGTTGTCTGGCATGTTATTTTTGTTTAAAATGATTTTTTTTAAATTCCAGACAAGTTGATATAACTTCCAGACAAATTGAGACAACTCGGCTTAATTTCCAATTTGGGCTTGCATTAACTATATATAAAACACTCTTTGTTAGTATTTTTTAGTTGATTCTAAGCTTATTGGAGGTCGGTTTTATTTTTGTTTGTCAAATTTTCTACCGAATATTTTGTTTGCGACAAATTTTGGTTGTAGTTTAAAGATCCATAGGTTTCTGGTTCTTTTTTTGTTGGATGCACTAAATCAACCCCACAAGGTCGTCTTGAAAAAAAATTCTTTGTTCTCTTTTCTTAATTACTATTTTTTCTTTCTTGTTCCAATTTCAATTGTTTCTTCGCTCGAAGTCTGCTTTGATACTTATTCAGAGTCATGCTGTTTTAATCATACAGTTGTTCTTCCATAACTTCACTTCTTTGTCGAATACATGTTTGGAACCAAAAATACAACAGGATAGATATGAGAACACTTTACAAAAATACTATAGAAATTAGAAAATTATGAATTATCATCTATGAAGTTATGTGAAACTGGA